TATGATCATATATGTATAGAGTATATTTTAATAAAGACTATATCAGATATATTAAAATGTTTTACATAAATAATAAAAGTACGCAATGGGCACTAGCTTTGTCAGTCCACCGCAAAAACTGGTACGTACAAAATTAGAGTGTGATTGAAGTTAGTCATGTCCGGGTGTCGGAGGAACCCCGGGGAGTCCTCTCTAGTTTAGGTCGCGCCCGGACATTGTGAATGAGAACCGTGGAGTGTATGTTTGAGAGACTGAGTTTTGCAATTTTTTAAATATAGGGTTAGGTAGGTAGGTAACTTATTCTCTGGTGTGTGTGTGCTTAATCTAAGTAGGTAGGGTCAGGGCAGGACTGTCCACATTAGTAATTCGGGTAGGCGCGTTTTCGCGTGGCAGTTCTGTTCCTGTAGTTACGATTTCGAGAGTAGAAATTTTGCTGATTCAAACGGTGTACATGTGCTGTTTGTTTCGGCTTTATTTTCGACTCCTCGAATCGCGCGACTCTTAAAGTCGCTCTCTCGCGCTCGCGATCGCGATTAGGTCCCTTTCGGAACGTTCGTCCCGCTCGAGATGACCACGTATGCTCTTGCAACAATTCGTATATTGTTGTAAGACTACGTATTGCACGAAATCTCGAGCTCGGTCTTAAGTAAGTTTCAGGCATCGGCAGGACCGCCGAAGAAAGAAAAGGCTCTATATGAGCTGAAGAGGCCCTGACAAACTGTTTCAAGAGTGGGCTACAACAAATGGCTTTTCATCTTCATCCTCGGATGAGGATGGAAAGTCATTCCTATTGCTACTTTGTCACTTAACTCGTCTGTAATTGTAGTTAGTTTATTTTTCTGACTGGCTCACGTATGCATGTACCTGATGGTACATGACTGCACCATACATGCCAGCCATCCCTCCCCATAACTCGCGGTTATGATATACATAGAGTTGCGAATATCCAATAATCGCGTTTGCTTTTAGAGTTGCGAATTGCTATTTTTCGCGTTTCCTTTTCAGGGTAGTGTTGCGAATAATTACCATTCGCGATTGTTTTCATGCAAACTTAGGTACCGGGAGTTTGCTTTAAAAGTAGCGTTGCGAATTATCGATAAACGCGATTGCTCGTAGAGTTGCGAATTACCATTTTTCGCGTTTCCTTTTCAGGGTAGTGTTGCGAATAATCACGATTCGCGTTGCTTTTTTACTCTTTTATACATATAATGGACATCAACCGCGTTTGCAATTTTCATACTATAAATTAGCGTTGCGATCTTGATCAATCGTGCGATTTTTTCTTTAGAGTTGCGATATTTTCAATGCCCAAATTCTACCCTATCTGTAGTAATAGAAGTAGTTAGTTTATTTTGTGGCCAGTACATGTGAATTCACATGTACCATGATTCCCCTGATTAAAGTTAGAGTTGCGAATAATATACAATGTTCGCGTTTGCTCGTAGAGTCGCGAACAAATATTTATCGCGTTGATATATCAGTGTTGCGAATAAATACGATTCGCGATTGTCTTTATGCAAACCTAGGAACCGGGCGTTTGCTTTAAAAATAGCGTTTCGAATTATTAGTAAACGCGATTGCTGTTAGAGTAGCGAATTACTATTTTTCGCGTTTGCTTTTCAGGGTAGCGTTGCGAATAATTACCATTCGCGGTTGCTTTTATTCTTATAAGTCGCGTTTGGAATTTTTCTATTATAAATTAGCGTTGCGATTGTTGATTTATCGCGTTGTTGCCCCGTAGTGTTGCGATATTTAAAACGTCTAAATTCATCCCCACATGAGCCACTCTACAGTAGTTAATAGTAATTAGAAGTAGTTAGCTTATTTTCTGCATGTATATTTGCATCAACGATGGACATCGCCAGTATTTTTGGGCAAAACGCGATTTGCATTAGCGTTGCGAAACATAAATATATTTCCATTAAAGATAGAGTCGCGAATATACAATAATCGCGTTTGCTCGTAGAGTTGCGAATTCCAATTTTTCGCGTTTCCTTTTCAGGGTAGCGTTGCGAATTCTATACGCGATTGCTTTTATCGTTATTTAAGAATAGCGTTGCGAATGAACCGATCGGTTTGCTCTTAGCGTTGCGAATTACTATTTTTCGCGTTTACTTTTCAGGGTAGTGTTGCGAATAATCATCATTCGCGGTTGCTTTTATTGTTAGAAATCGCGTTTGGAATTTTTATATTATAAACTAGCGTTGCGATCTTGACTTATCGCGTTTGTTGTTGATTAGAGTTGCGATTCAATGCCCAAAAGCTGGCCAAAACGTTGGCCACTGCACCAGGATCATCGAGAATCAAACTACGATTCTGCAAAGCCTCGAATGGCTCAACACCGTTATTAAAATTAGTGTTGCGTATGATTGAATATGGGTGCACGCGATTTAATTAATAAAAGAACCCTGTGTGGTTCATTTTACGAATAATAAGCACCATTCGCGTATACTTTTATATTTTATAAATTAGCGTTGCGACTGAAATCCACTCACGGGTTGTTTTTTTGAATTTATGAGTGGAAAATATATCCTTTTCTTTATATGTTTGCCAATGAAAATACTGCTTTAAAGTACTGGGGTAAATAGACAAATTATTTCCTTTTTCAAAACGTGTTAAAACCTGTAATTTTGATTAATATATTTTTATGTCATAGATTAAATTCATGATTCATAATATATATATCACCAATTATTCATTATTAGAGTTGATAATTTGTACGGGATATAATAACGTTTTCAACCTAATTGTTATTTATAAATAGTGGATTTTTTTATAAATATTCTGTACTCTTTGCATAAATTAAAGTTTGTTCGCGATCATTGTTTTAATCGATGGAAAATAGAATGCTTGTATCAAAAGGGTATGCAAATTGCAATTCGATATTTCATATTGAGAGTTAATTGCCGCGTAGAATCGACATTTTAGTTCGCTATTGCTTTTTCGGTATGAACCTAATTTAGTTTTGAATACAGTCAAATATAATTATTGCAATTTATACGTCTTGAAAAATTGTTTATTTCATAAAGGAAACGGAGAATAAAATTTTCAATTTATTTCATATTTATCTTAACATTGAGACGAATTTTTTTAAACTTTTTTATATCAATTTTTACTCGCGGAAGTTTCAGTTCAAATATTAATTTCATTTTTTCTGTGTTCACTAATACACTTTCATTTCAGCTATTAATCCTTTGAACAAGTTCTTGTTACAGGATATATAATTATTGAAGAATGGAATTGAAAATTATACACGGATTCCATCTTGATAGTTTTTAGAGAAATATTTCATACAATTCTATTTATTGTCTGATTTATGTTTCAGGGAAACATCGTGGGATTAATCAAGACACCAAGAAGAAATTATTTCCTCGTATTTCTTTGTTTTATACGAGTTATATTTATCGAATATCAGTTTTTGTTTCAGGATAACATCGTGGGATTGTCGAAAACACCAAGAAGAAAATATCTTGTCGTATCTTCGTTTTATATCGGTTATATGTATTGTATATGAGTGTATGTTTTAGAACAGCATCGTGGGATTGATGAAGACATCAAGAAGAAAATATTTCCTCGTATTTCTTCGTTTCGACAGATTGCGTTAGAATATAAGTAAAAATGTATATAGATTATAAGATAAAAAAGCGTTCTCCAGCGTTCGATTAAATACCACTGAAACGTGTGCGTAAATTTAAGTGGGGATGATTAATATTAAGGTACATATTAGTATTTTAATGTGCAAGGTCCATACGTGCAGTTGCACATTTCTGGTTGGGTCTTCAGTGTCTTCTTAGGCACTGTCATAATTAAGAAGGAACAATTAATAATAAAGTACATATAGGTACTTTATTAATCAGGATTCGTACGTGCGGTTGCACATTCCAATTTTGTTTCTAAAAAACATGTGATGGATTATTTCACATGTATCGACATTCTGTTAGGTTTTCGATCTCTTCGTCAGAGTTCGTACGTGCAGTTGCACATTTCATTTTCGTTGTTAGAAAACATGTGTATCATCTCACATGTATTGACATTTTGTTAGGTTCTTCGTCTCTTGATTGGACAGTTCTTTTAAGAACTCTCCTTTTCTAGCTCGTTTCTAACTTTTCGATAGCTTCTCGCTTAGATAGGTATTCGATTTCCTCGCCAAAGGAAGGGTGGTTGGGGCGAGGCTAGGGTGGGTCTCCATTCGCAGCAACCTCCACGTGGTGAGACCCGGGTCATATTATTTACTATGTAATTAATAGAATTATTAATTACATAGCAAATAATATGAGCTAATGGCTGCGATCTTCCTCGTATAGTTTCACATACCTTCTTCGTCCTGGTGTGCAGTTTAATAACACTGATTTCGAGTCGCAAATACGTTTTTTCCGAGTTATTTTTTAAATAAATGATATATTACAATTTAAAATAAAAAACAGAGGATTTGCGGTGTACTTATAAATGAGGTACATCCGTACGTATTTTAATTATCTTGATATCTTTAAATAATCTTAATCGATTGGTTAATCCGATGAATTAATCGATCGATGCTCAATTCTGGACTGTACAGCTTTCATTCTGTTAAAAAATACTAATTTCTGTAATTTCATTTTCTGTCTCACTTCCTCTTGTGTTCATTTCTAAATTTGTCGGTAACGTTGGGGTCTCGAGACCCCATTACCATTTTCGTGTCATTCGCAACGTTACCCTTACCCTTTATGGTAAGTTGCTGGTTAGTATCGGGTTTCGCGACGTAGCCGTTAGATGGCACCATGGCAGGTGTTGCAACTTGCAACATGCGCTGCCTGACGACGTGACGGGAAACATTCGGCTATTCGAAAAATGGTGGCCTTCAATTTTTTAAGCGGAATGTCATATATTTGTTTACGTCGTGCGAAAATGTGTGTCAAGAGGAATTCATTCCTATACTGTGCACGATAATCTTCAAGGCCAAGTGGGGGATCAGAAGCTAAAGAAACATTTTGAATATTTTGTAGCATTACATTTACGATTGTTTCTTTTTGACATGACTGCACTCGTAGTAAACTAATGTATTGATATTCGATCGAAGAAATTGTTATTAATTGGAAATTTCTTTTTTCTGAAGATAAAAAGCTAAATGTCCTGAAACGTGTTATTGCGAACAGTTCGTGAAAGGTATGTGATATGACATTTTTATTCATTATTCGTGAATAAAATTTGCTCGACTCTGTCCCCACCCACTAACCAGAACGAATCCAAATACGAGTTGGTCGTGGTACAACCTCTGTTGTTGGTTCAAGTTTCAGTTAGTATTTGTTACTATGGTTACACACGGTGAAGCATGGCCGCTCGATTAACAGTTTGCGAGCGAGCGTTGCGCAGAAAGGTAATCAAGTGCATGGAATGCCGATGATTCGCGCCGCAATCATTTTCGTAAGTAGAATTAAAGTTTTTCAAAATTACAAACCGTTCCCGCCGAACATTGGACTATTCACAAACAATTGTTATCGTCCATTTTTAGTGCTTCCGGTTTAGCAGCTGTACACAAAACGTATGTACATTTTATGGTCTTGGAATGTTGGATACTTGGAAACGTATGCTTTATACGGATATCGTCAAACAGTTTTATTATAGCTATTTATTCAGTTAACGTGAGAGATCATAATTGTCTGTTTCCCTTTTCATAAAATTTTTGTAGCATCGATAATTTTGATTTTTCGTGGCTGAAAAAAATTGTAGCTATTTGCAAAACACGTGTAAACATACTTTTAGATTTTTACTGTAGAACAGTAAAATACTGTTTTCTAATTTCAATCGGTAGTATATGTATGCTATTGAAAAATTTCGGATTAGGTATTCTATAAATTATAAATTATAAACTAAGAACGTGAAGATGGTTTTAGTGTAAAATATGTTTCAAATTCAGACGTATTAGAAGAACTTATATTTGTACAAAATGAAAGGGATACAACATTTTCGTCTTTATTGTTTGATTTTGATTAAATCATAAACATCAGCTTTTTTACGTTTTAATCTTTAAATTGATGACGGTTCCAGTTGCGTGAGAATCGTCTCAATCTTTTGGTAGTTGTTTGAATTTGAAGTTATTGGCACCTGAAACCATTTATAATTCTTCCTGATTGAATTATTATGGTTTTCTGTAACTGTTTCATCAGCATAGCTTAAATGAATCGCGTGGCCCGTCTTGCATACATTTCCCAAGAATACGTATTTTCTTGTGTCGCGAGACCGAAGAAAATCTATATCCTCGCATGTCTGACTGGCCAACGAAGATTGTCCGCATGCGAGCGTGTTAAGAAAATGCTAATCTCGACCAGGCCACTCAGGTGTTGTTGCGCCTGTAGGACAAAGTAATTTGTTAACCCTTTCGGGACGTAACTGGGTTATCGTACGGTCGTTACAGACGGCTGATGTAGTACCGTTTTACGTCACAGAATGCCAAACGTCGAAGAAAGTCGCGGCACAATTAGTATGCTGTTCTAGAAAGCGAAAAGAAGGAACAATTTTTAATTTTGAACAGTTTTGTTCACCCAGAAAGAGAGAACATTAATGAACCCTGATAGAAAAGGGTTTCTTCGACATTAAAACCAGTTAAACAAGTATACAAGTACAAGTATAATTTGTAGATCGATCTGGAAATAGAATCATTGTTTGGAAGTAAGCGTACATGTGTGACCAGCACGTATGCAGGCACCCCTATAGTATTTCATATTTCACGAACGGTATTTCAACGTTACTAAGCAGTGGCTTTAACGTTTGCGACAAGATTAAACTTTTATTTCGAACCTTTAACGAACGTGTAGAAGTTTAAGTACAGCTATGCTTCCATCGATTTTAGACCGATAGACAGGGTGACCAACTCGTCGATGCCGATAGAATTTCCACAGAGATAAAAGAATCACGGTATTTTAACAATTTTCGATATTTTATATTTTTCTCTTTACGTGTCAAGATTGTATTAAAGTCACTTTCGTGTCGGTAAATGTACCCGTGGTTTCGCGACCATTTAAACGTATAATTCCCACGGTGAGGCTAATGGCCCGTGAATCAAGGTCGTTCAATGGCAAACAACGCGTAAAACAGGATCGATCTAAATTCCTAGAATAATAATCGGTGTTTTTTTTCCTGGTCGACAGTGTATAGACTTAGCCTGGCATTATGGTGTAACGCCAATAAGACTGTTTCAACGTGTTGTAGATTTTCATATTTTCACTGTTTATCGTGTCCCATGATTGTCAAGAATCAATATCAAACAACTTGTAAATTAATAATGTATAGTCCTGTATTTTGAACAGCCACCAAATAATAAATGCGTCTGACTTAAACGGTGAAAAATGTACCTTTCAGGGTCCATTAATATAATGCACGAGCCACGTCCTGATAAGACGAATCAGGCGTCGAGCTGAAGGTGTGTGTGCGATCGTCTTTAATAAACCGAGCGCAAATGACGATGAACCGATACATAACTCTGAATCAATTGGGCGACGGAACGTTCGGTTCTGTCGTTTTAGGAGAACGTATCGATACCGGGGAGAAGGTTGCTATAAAACGAATGAAGAGGAAATACTATTCGTGGGAGGAAGCTATGAATCTGCGCGAAGTAAAAGTAAGAATGATTCGCGATTCGATAAAACGTTCAATGATTAATCGTAATACGATCGGTTCCAGTCTTTGAAAAAACTCAGTCACGCGAACGTGGTGAAATTGAAGGAAGTGATACGAGAGAACGACGTGCTCTACTTCGTCTTCGAGTACATGAAGGAAAATCTGTATCAGTTGATGAAGGATAGGTAGGATTAAAATCTGTATTAAGGATTCGCGTACTATGGAACGATATACAGTGATATATTTGTTACACAACAGGGACAAACTTTTCCCAGAGCCGGTGATCCGAAATATAGTGTACCAAGTGTTGCAAGGACTAGCTTTCATGCATAAACATGGGTTCTTTCATCGCGATATGAAGCCTGAAAATTTATTGTGCATGGGACCGGAATTGGTGAAAATAGCTGATTTCGGATTGGCCAGAGAAATACGGTCAAGGCCTCCTTATACGGATTACGTGTCCACGAGATGGTAATAGTCATTGGATAACATAATTTCAGTCACAGCGAACAAAATAACGACGATCGAGTCTAAGAGAAGAGATTAATCTTTTTATGTTTAGCGATCGGTGTAAATAGTTTCGTTTAAAATAATGAAACCTGTTTCAGGTACAGAGCGCCGGAAGTGTTGCTCCACTCGACGACTTACAACAGCCCCATCGATATTTGGGCAGTAGGTTGCATCATGGCTGAATTGTACACGTTCAGGCCACTGTTCCCCGGCAAAAGCGAAATCGACGAAATTTTTAAAATCTGTTCCGTGATCGGCACTCCGGAGAAGGACGATTGGCCGGAGGGATATCAGTTGGCTGCCGCTATGAATTTCAAGTTCCCGAACTTCACTCGTACATCGTTGAACGTTCTGATACCAAACGCCAGCCAGGAAGCAGTGATATTCATGGAAGACATGCTGCAATGGAACCCTATTAAAAGACCCACGGCACAGCAATCTCTCAGGTAGTTCTAATCGACGAAAACGGGTCAAATAACAAAGATTTCGATTTAGTAGATTGTCTCCGCTTAGGTATCCTTACTTTCAAATGTCCATTCCGCGGGCAATCAACAGTAAAAAGATCGGCGTCGCGACCCAGCGTGATCTAGTCCTGAACAAAGTGAATCTTCCGTCTCCTGTTCCCAAACAGTACAACTATCCCCAGGATATCTTGAAAAACTCGCTCGAAACCAGGTAAAACACATCGTCTCGCCATCGTATGGTTTGGCAGAGCCTTCGATCTCTTTCATATTTTGTTTAAAAGATAAACATATATCCGTACTATGGATCCTAATGTTCCGAGTAATGCATGAAATTTTCATTATCGCAGAGCACAAGAGAATGTAGCGCAGACGCAACAGCAACAACAGCAACAACAGCAACAGCAACCGATGCTACTACCGTTACTGAACCATAATAATTACGCGCGCAAAAGCAATCCCCCGAAGTGGGATGAGGACGATTTTGCCGAGCTTCTGGGGTGCGTTGCCCGAATTTCGTAATCAAAGCCGTGTTACGTGGATCTCGTCTGTCTCGCGATTGTATAATCTAATCCTTGATTGTCCACGTCAGAAGCAAGATCGTTCCCGAGAACGCGAACGTAAAGCTTGCTCCAGATCGAGTGTACAAAGAGAATCGTGCCAATTGGAACGCCAATTATTTACCAGACAATCCGAAGCAGAGCAACGGGAACTGGACGCTGCCAACGTGGAACGAACCAGCCCCCATACATTGGAATCAGTCGCAATCGAACTTGAAGAACGGTCGAAAAGTATCGGCGAAACAACACTACCTCACTGTGGCTCGATACGTCGCTGGGCCGAGTACAAGCTTGTCCTCCAGGTATCCAGAGTTCCAAAAAGTGAAAACCTGAACCCCCAATTATCGATAATACTGGGATACGTACTGGTAAACTGCCTGCTTTGACAAAAGGAACTTCAGAACCATTTTATCTCTCTTAGAACGTTGATCTTGAAATATTTGAAAATTTCTACCAACGTTATTCATGCTTGCGTCTCACTATTTAATTTATGCTGTTTATCCCTAATGTCAGTGTTGAGATTGCGAGTAGGATGTACATAGTGGGTAATTTCATAAATCCTGTTGTTTTTTTAAGCTGATGTCAAATACGTGTAAGTACCTCTGCTTCTAATAAGAACGACGAAGAAAATGTCCGAGTGTACAAATGCGAACCGTATCCTTCTTAATTTATTTCTTCCGCTGTAGTCGAACAATCCCATTGTAAATTAAAAGTGTTCAATAAACTAATGGCAATAATCTCGGGTCCGGGCATTTATTGGTTTCATCGATGCACGTTTCTAATACTTGTTCTCTTTTGCTCTTGAAGAAATGGTGACTTCGACGCGAACCAACCTAGGTTAATGCGGAATTTGGTCGGGCAAACGTTGGAGAAGTATGAGGAATTCACTGATTCTTTTTGGGTACCCAGGAATCCTATCGAGAATCAATCGAAACAGTATTACCTCCCAAGAAATCGTTACATTACAGATCAAACTTTGAGACTGCCTTATCCCAGCGTTTATGGTACGCAAAGTATTAGTAAGTATTTAAAGTTAACAGCACCTTTTAATCAAATGGCATGGACGAACAAATTTTAGCAATTCGCACATTGTAGACAACTTGTACGTACAGTTAAGAGATTCTCGCGTTTTATTAACTATTTATTAATTTAACAGAAACGACGAACAAAGGGACGCTTCAACCGGGCGTGTATGGAAATGTGCTGAACACAAAAGGTAGCGGAAGCCTTCACGGCAGAACGGATTGGGCTGCTAAGTATCTAAAATGACTGTTTTAAAATTATTACATATATATTTCTTAAATTAATCCATTTCTTTTCCTTAAAGCAACTTCAACTGTGATAGAATGATATTTATCACTCCATTGCGTTCTAAGAAAAAAACTGATGATTTTAATGCTATCACGAAAGAACCGAATTTACAAACGTTGCTATAAAACTTTTAAAAATGTAGTCACTATATCGATTAATTATTTTTCAGACTGTATAAGTGATCACATTTTTAAAACGATCGGATTCGAGTTATCGATAAGTAGGAACAAATTCTCTCCTTTTTTTTTTTCAATTGCATTTTCTAATTCTGTTAATGACTATTACTATTTAATTATTTATTGAATAACAGTATTTTAGTATTATCAACGTGACAGAATTCGCTACATTAATTTTTCTTTTTTTCTTTTTTTCTTTTTTAAGTTGTTTAATTTGTCCAATGAAAATGTTGTGAAAGGTATTAACAACTAAATGATTATGGTTAAGAGTGTAATGTTTGATTCATAAAGAATATAATAGTTGAGTAAGGTATATTAATGAAAATAATATACATATATATATATATATATATATATATATATACATATATATATACACATATTTATTATTTGTACATATCGATTAATAGCGATATGGAGTAATTTCTGATTGATCGAACGATCGATTATATTTACCTTTCTTTTTACAGTCGATATCGTAGTTTTTTTTTTATCGAATGCATATCAAAGTCTGTTCAGACAATTACTCCATGTCGTGTTACATACAATATTTAAGAATGGTACACCATGATGAAAAATACGATATAAAACAAAATGATTTTCCATATTTTCTACACACAATCTTTAAGAAGCATACTTATACTGTACATTCATAATCATACGTCTCACTCGTTTCATTATCTACCATAACTTTAGTTGTCTTATAAATGAATATTTTTTAATACGTTTCCCTTTGTAATAAGTTATACCCTTGAAATACTTTTTTTTATATATAGTTTTGATAGGTATATTCCAGAACTTGTACGTTTACGATATAAGTTAAAAAATAATACAAAATATACTACTATTGCATAATAAACGTCGACTAAAGTATCTCTCCTTATGATGCGATTGTAAAACTAGATTGTTTCATAAAAATGTTTTATAAAGGAACGCGTCATAAAAAAATTCGTTTTAAAATTATCTCTACTCGTATGAGTTTGTACATATCAGATTCCCCGTGTCTAAATTCTGACGCTACTTTCTTAAATTTATTTTAAAAACAATTTTTAAGTCTTTTCGTAAAGATATGTGAAAGCAAGGTACCCAATAGATCGTATTTTTTTTCTTTGTCCCTTAATAATCTAGCATATTCTCTATCTCGTACTGTTTTTAAAACGGTATTAATATTTGTATATGCTAGAAGTATTGTATGAAACAACCACCTTGGAAGAAAACCACTCGCTCTGTCGAGGAAAGAACTAAAACTTGATATGATTAATTTTCCATTATCTCAAGTTTGATGTACATATGCATGCGTTAGACAAGAAATCTATGCCGTTCTTGCGTGGTTCGTTTAAATGATATCTAAGTTAGCTTTAAATACACGTACGAAATATATCTGTAAGCTGTTTGGATGGGTGGTACATTGGTAAATATTACGCATATACATTTATCCATTAATGTAATACGATTTTATATTTGAAGTGATCCATCGGAATGTTCGTAAAAATGCTTCCGAGTTTACGTATTCGCACACGTACGATTCATCGGTTACGTTCATTTAAGACCATTTAATTCACGAGCTTGGATGAGCTTCATTATAGGATTTGATTTAAAAGAAAGTACAAGATTCTACCCCTTTTAATTATGTATCGTTAAAATTCTATCGCAATGCACGGATACGATCTGTAAACTGTCGCGTCTATCTTGCAAATTTCGATCCAATAAATATTCAAAATTTGATTATAACATCTTATGCAACCGTAAATATGTTTTGGGTATATAACATAAATAAATAGCGTGTTCGAAAGAAACAAGTACTGTTCTTTTCTTCTTTCGTACGGAGGTACGTTGTAAGTGTACGTATCTTACATTTATATGTAAACTATTCACACAGAAATATAACAATTTCGTACAGGATATACTTACACAATAATTTCGTCACGCAAACTTACTATTTATCGATCACTGATCTAACAAGCGTAGCACACGTTAGAACCATCAAGAAAAACTTACTCCGCGCTTATTAATTATTTTCTGATCGGTAATAGTCGTTTCGGATAATTACAGAAAAATTTCGAATAACAAGTTTCAATTAAAAAATTAAATATACCCTCGAAAAATTCGATTTAATCCTTGAATGATATCGAACTAAATTCAACCTCAACGTTCATTTAATTTCCTTTTCTTTTTTTTTTCTTTTTCTTTTTCTTTTTCTAGGCAGAGACCTTAACAAGTGTTAATTTCAATAATACATACGTGTCAATTAGGATCTCGAAAATTGTCTCTGCCAGCTTATAATTATTTGTCAACGTGCTATTTAAGGATTAAAAGACATTCGTTTTGTTTGCCCGCGTGCAATAAATTTTGTAGCTATACATTTGAAATTTCGTCGCTTTTAACAATAATATTTAATAAGCAATGGTCAATTAAATTATTCACAACGGTATGAAAGGCACAATATCTTTTAAGAAAATGAAATGTAAATAATCATAGATTCAAAAAGTATCTATCATACATTTATATAATTTAAAGGAACATTCGTTAAATATAATTTCAACTTGATTTGACATTCGCGATTGATTATTTGTTCGAATAAAACAATTAATACGCAGAATAATAATAGATAGATAGAGTGCTTTGTGTGCGTGTGTGTGTATGTGTGTGTGTGTGTGTTGAATCTGGCGATATTTTGTATTCGGTGATTCTTAATTGGTTTCAAACGTTCTGAAACATTCGATCGAAATAATTTCTCTCGCAGGAGTGCTACGATTTAAGGAACGGAATGATAAGATAAGTAATGATTCTTAAACATAATTCCTGGTTTTGATAACTTTATTTACATAAAGCACCAGATTTACCACAGCACACAAACATACGTGTCCTACTGTTGTAAAATCGCATTGTTAACGGAAGCAGTAACATTAGCTAACATTTTAGGAGATACGGTTGTAGATGCCACCATGATGCCGGTAGTTAACGTACTAACGGTAGTATTAGAAATTAAAGTGGACGTTAAAAGAGTTGACAAGACATTGACGGTAGTCTTTACCTTTGGTGTAATATTTTCTAACGTGGGTAAAGTGGAAGACATAGCGTTTATCATAATACTTGGCGTCGTATTGTTAAGTGGTATCACCGATGATTTTAATATCTCGGAACACACGTCTTTGGTTTGCAATGACAATCCAAAGCACGCGTGCATCATGTATGCCAATAACGAGCCAACTATTAAACCCGTGATGTACGATATTGTCATGATATTACCTGCAAAACCAAGGATATCATTTGAAAAATAATATACGCAGACAAGATTGCAGCGTATCCTTTTATGTATACGTATGTGTGTAAGTGCGTACCTGCTAACTCGCGAAGCCCTTCTGGAACTTTGGCCGGTGCTTGAATCATTGGTACCGACCCAACAATACCATTCGTAACGCCAAGAAGACAAGAAAATAATAACGGATATCCTTCTCCTGCGAGGATCGGAGCACCTCTTGGTAGCGCGCATAGCAAGAACAAGGGAATTAATACGATCCGTACACTCGCAAAATATAATAACTGATTGCGTTTCCATTCGTAAGGTATTAATGCGAGTTGCTGAAATATTAAACAGCGAAACATATTATTTGTTTTAGTTTAAATCACCGGGCATTTTGTATGCGAAAGGAAGGTTGTTCTATCGACTAATTATCAGAAAGTTAGAAATAAATTTCTGTTGACACGACACCCGTCCGGAAAGAGGAGTTGATCGTGGTTGTACTTATGTAGCACCTACCTTGCCCAATACATCGAAAACATTGAACGCCGCCATTAAAATAACCGGCATCCACGATTCAAGCTTGCAAGAAATTATTTCGGACATGATACCAGGATATAGGCAGACTGTAACACAATACGCCACGCCGATGCTGGACATGTATGGAAATATTATTTTTGCCACTTCGATTCTTGCAAGTAACCCCCCTGATGAAATTAGTTATATTATTTTATTAAATACGTGTATGTTAACCGTAAAAGAGAAAGAAACGTACTTTTTATTTCAGACCACTGTTTACTGTTTTGAGCGGCATACGCTCCTCTCATAACGACAACGTCTTCAACTTTGTAGGTAGGACCAGCGCTACCGGGAGGATTTCCTGATGGTGCACTCGGTTCATACACGGGATTACTGAACGAAAATGCTGAATACTGATTTGTTCCTATCATAAGTAAACGGCATAAGTAAATATCTATTTCCGTTTAATCTAGTAAACATAAACTGCAAGTTACCATTCGAATCGGTATTACCGCTCGTAGTTTCGTTTCCCACAGGACTAGTTTGAATTTTTAGAACTCCATACTGACCTTTCGAAGGGTCTCCGACTTGATCCAGAGGATCCATCTAGTTAAGAACATTATTTAACGGATACAATTTGTTATTATCGCGTTAACGATACTCGTATACGTACCAAACCTACATCTTCCGTCGGTTCCAATGTAATTCGATTTCTCTCTTGACATAACGTTAAATAAAATTGCACAAAATCAGTTTTACGAACTATTTGATGTAAGACGAAACATATCAGGATCGTTATAATTGACAAAATGAAAAATGTGGACGTGTTCCTGCGTTCGTCGTCGAGCAAGGATTTCGTAAGAATTCGATTTATAGACACCCAAAGGCCAGCGATACCTGTATTTAAAAAATTATATTTTTTTTAAACATCATTGTCGATCAAATGTTTCGGATGATAAACGTTTCAATTCTCTTTCTCACTTTCTCCAGCCATTACCGCCTGAGTATACTGACTGGGAAGCATAGACGTGTATCCATAGAAGCTCGATTGTTGAACTATAATTTAAACATTTTTCTATTAAACTCTGAATCAAGTCCAGGCCAGAATTATCGGTATGGGCAGTGTTTCACCTGTGCATCCAAACGACACTACTGCAACGGCAACCAAATTAATCGTATATGAAGTTTCGACGTCGAAACATTTGATCCAAATCACGCATATTGCAACGAAATTCAAGGTAACGAAGGATACCACATATCCTAAAATTTTCAACGATATATTAAACAACGATCTGTTTGAAAAACAATGCACGGTTGTTGCATTTGTTTGCAATTCTTACCGAATGTTATCCGCGTATTCAAAGACAGTGTTTCAACTAAGATGTTGTTTGCAAACACTGCAAAAAAGGCCACAGTGATGTAGACAACTAACATGTCGAATATTACAGTACTGCCGGGATATATCTCTTGAAAAAAATCCACAGCTATGATAAAGCTGCGAATAATAAATATCGACGTTACAACATTTTTAGTTTCAGGAAAAAGATCATGCGATGACTCGGAACGGTAACTTTTTTCATTTTACGAGTAAATGGACCAGCGCGTGTTATGTTGCGAACAAAACAAACAATAAATGTGTTTTTTGTTATCTGAAAATATGACAATAATATATTAATGCGGCTTGACCTGTTGTACGGCAAGAGGAATCCCACACCGCCAAGAATAAGGGCAAAGTAGATGAAGTTGCGTCTGTCAACCGGTGGTGACAGATGAGTGAACCCATTGGAGAATTTGAATTCATTCATGCCTCTCGCCTTGCCTAATTGTATGTAGCCACGACTCAAATTCTCATCCATATTAATCGGGACGTTTGTTGAGAACAATCAAGAAAGAACCAAGTCACTGACCGTTTTATGACTCCATCGTTTAAGAAGAGCTTCGACGGTCAGTTCTTTTAACCGAACTTCACCAATAACCGCACCATACACTTTCTTTCGATCAGTTAATTGCACCTGATCGCTACCTTATTTATTTCTTTACGCGTAATATGGATGCGAATGTCGCGCGACCGAGCGCATGCTTTGAAAATTTGCGGCATTGATTTTTGCGCGCGCACCGTACACCCTATTTACCTTTTACCGCGTAATACAACCGACAGAATGTGCATTGTAAATTTGATACAAAAGTAAAGATACTTTACAGTACCGTTTTATTCTACGATACTCTAACACAGATCAAATGGAATTTGTAATCGAATGAAACGATTCAAATGTGACCTGCTGTTTTTCATTTTAAGAATTAAAATAAATTATATTTAAAGACGCGTTCTTCGTGAATAACTCAAATGTAAGCTCACAATTTTTCCTCCGTGTTTAGTAGTTGCTAAAAAAATATTGGGCGCATACAAAAGTTTCGATGGATTCTAAACAAACATCTGTTCATTTAAACCAATAGACAATCTATTAAAATTCTTTCCGTCTAAGACAATCAACTACTGTCAATTGTTATTCGCGACCGAAATTAGCTGCTTCCGGTTAACAAAATGAAAATTAATATCGAAGATGGACACCAATAGATATCGTTTACGTGTATAACGCTGTATGAGTTCCGTAGAGGAATGAACGTTAAAAATACTGTGAAAACCGTGTGTGATGCATTCGGTGAGTCCACTGTATTGTTTTTAATCTGCGAAAAATGAAATCTATCGGTGATTTTTATCTGAAGATAAGTCCCGCTCAGGCGGCTTTTGTTGTTGATAATTATATTTTGAACAATTTAACTAGGAGTTAGATCGCTGACGTTAATTGAACATAATTGATTAAATAATATTATTTTTCATAAAACTTTGCACGCGTCCTACAACATTTTTTATCCGAGACACCGTATATACATATTTTACGTACTACATAAGTACATACATACATATATCGATGTATCGCATACTATATCGAGATAAGTATGCGCTTGCGCACCGTGTCATACTTATCACTTATGAATCAGCTGACGAGTAAAGAGGATTGTTGCTTGCGAATTCGAGCGATATTAGAGTAAAAGTTAAAAAATATGTCGTTAAATACGGCGCACGCGAATGGCGGCGTTCTTATACACGCCAGTGAGTGGTAAGTTACGAAACATGTTTGTTAGTTTTGAAATTGTCACTGATATTTTGCGTGTGTCGTCTGTGACGTTTCTGCAACGTAATTACTATCGTGGCCTTCCGAAGGCGACTTCCTTATTCTTTCGATCATTTTTCCTCCATTGATTGTAATATCGCGTACAAACTACAAAAGATGTTCACATTTTCGAAATCATGTTAATAACCAACGAAACTATCGCATTTCATATTTTCCATAGTTGTTGATGCAATCGGTACAGTACTAACGACGAAATTATTTACCTGTTTGCTTTAGCATATTATTATTTTGCGACAATGTTACGATGGAATTCCATGGACAAGAACAACCGGAGTTTATGGGTAGCAAACGTGGTCGATTGTACCTGACAACGCACAGAATGATCTTTAACTCTAAAGATCAAAAAGACAAAATGCAATCGTTTAGTTTCCCATTTGTGACGCTGAACGAAGTTGAAGTGTACCAACCGATGTTTGGAGCTAATTACATCAAAGGCAAATGCCGTGCTCAACCTAATGGTAATTGGATCGGAGAATGTAAATTCAAATTGCAGTTTAAAAGCGGTGGTGCGATAGAGTTTGGACAGGCCATGTTAAGAGCAGCATCAATGGGTAAGTCTATCACATTTTTACATAATTATAAAGAATAGCGCGCACGATTTTGTTTTTATTTATTGGCTTCATAAACCAGAATCTACTTTTATCAGACTACAGACTATAAACAACAGACTTAACGTTTATAGTCAAAGAGCTAACAACGTTACTCCATGAAATTCATTTTTGTATAGTAATTTATATACTTGTTTCTAGCTCAACGTAATGGACCTGCATCCGATGCCCCACCACCTTATCAACCACCGACATCAAACTGGTATGCTGCACCACCACCTGCTTATCAAGCTGCAACAACCGGGTATTATGGTTGGGTACCGCCTACTAATGTATTTCCGGATATGCCTCCAGGTTAATTGTCTATTTTTCTTCAAACATTTTTATAATACTGCATTAATTGTTCTCGCTAACTAGCTGTTCATAATAGAAACTTGTTTAATCAGTAATAGGTTGTTATTTTATATTTTTTTATATATGTATATAGCAAACAGTGTATTTATGACGGATATGCCACCTCCATATCCTGGTATAAATGCACCTTATCAAGGATACGCGAACGATGCACCCCCTCAAGGTGCATGGGGTGGCGCTGGTCAACAACCTGTGTGGGCACCACCTCAACAAAACGGCGCACCTGGATGGCCAAATCCAAATTATAATAGTCAACCAATGTCCCAAGCAGGTGCGTATCCAACCTATGGGCAACCGACTTATAATAATTACGTACAAAATCCACCGCCATATTCTCAATACCCTCAAAGTAATAATTATGCTCAACCCGGATATTATCCGCAACAAAATCCTTACAATCAGTATCCACATACTTATTAATTATATTTAATTGTGATAATATACACATTTATATCGTATTTTACATATGTGCTATGAAATTACGAAATTGAATACATTTAGAAGTAATGAAAATTTTAAAACGCGATTCCTCTAATCAATTATGCGATATTGTGATAGAGAAAGCACAGTGTACATTCGTTTAAAATGCTTAAAAAACACACAAAATTATTTTGAGAAAAGGAAAAAAGGATACAAATACATTTATATTACTATATTCCTCTATATGTGTATAAAAGTCATCCAATAATATAACATATACTACATAATGAATACTGAATTACTTTCAAATACTTTTATTTTTATCAAATGTATTCGTGAATAATACAGAAAACATCACCTATTATTGTTACCTAATAAACCAAAATATTATATTTTCGTTGTTTCAATAGCATACTAGCATTATGATAATCATTATAATACAACAAACATACTATGTTATTAAAATTTAGTCAAACATAACTTGCTGTTTTTATTTAAACCTACCAATTCAAAATGTTACTTTGTTACAAAAATGATCAAAATCTATTTCACAAAGAAATTCAATGATGCCATATTTTTTTTACCTCACCTGACAACCTGAAAGGTTTTGAATATTGTGCAATGTTATTGCATAACAGGTTTGGTTGACCTGAAGTAAGGTTGACTTTCACTATGCTCAGTTATTATCTCATAGTTGTCAGAGATAGTTGAAAAATACGTGAAGTGTTATTATGAGTTTTTAATCAGATTTAATCCATTCATTGATTCATATAAAGCAAAAATGTGCATAAAATCGTTAATTTTATAATTTTTTTGACAAAATAGCATTAAAAATATATTATATTTTCAGTGTAACCAATGAATGACTCAATCAGAGTATGCTATGACAAAATACTATTACTGGTAATAGCAGTAAAAATTGGAAAGATTATATAATTTTATTAAATTTTCAGAATAATAATTCCCAAATTTGTAATAAAATTATTTCATCTTATAATTCTACTTCATAAGCAGATTATTTGGCATAACTACAATTTAATCGAATACCGATCAAACTAATTTAAACAAAGAATAAAATCCTAAAATATTAAAATAATTCATTCGTTGAAATTAATTCCTCTGACAAGAAAATGCCAGATCGTTTAAAATTTTCTGCATCAAATATGTACATATGTATGTTACTCACCATAACTTTAAACATATTTTCAATTAAAATTTCATTTCCTTAGTTTTGTCTATGTGTTATATTTTTTCTCTTTTGCAGATGCGAAAGCAGCAGAAGCTGCTCAGAGTGCATATTATGATCCAAGCAGACCACAGTGTGCCTATGTCCCACCTCCTGCATACTATGTACGTATAATGTTTATTAAATAATTTTTAATTGTTATCTAGGAACTGTAATCTAATATTTATAATGTTGAAAATAAATTTTATCTGACTGTAATTGTTTAGGAAAGTCCACCGAGTTACCAGCAAACAACGGAAAAAAAGGATCAGTGAAATTACATTAATGATTTCTGAAAACAGTGGTGGAACATCAACGCTGTTGCTGTCTGAATAGTATTATATGTGTAACATACTGCATAGTAACAGGTATATGCATTCCATTTTAGGTTTTGCTATGTCATTTCGATGTGCGCATTTAAATGAAACAATATTTCTATCTTTCCTATATTCACAATTTTGAATATTTACACTATATTATACTGTTATGCTTCAAAATATGCAAGTATTTATACTTATTGTGTAGATTGTATAAATATTCTATAAAAAATTCTACTGTTTTTTGTGCAATTAAATGAATATATAAAATAAAGTTACTGCATACGAATGTAAAAAAATTACTTATACCGAAGTGTGTTACCTCTATATTTAAACATTTTATTTAGAATTATAGAAGGTACACAATATTTATACATACATAATTAGTAAAATTAAATATAAAATAAACAATTAACAATGTCGCGTAAAATTTACATAAAATTTATTATCAAAATATATTTAAACATATGTAATTTTTTCTATTGAAAGTGTAATAGTGAATTTCAGTCCATGGAAACTCGTAACATGTATATTAATATATAAAAATAATTTTCAATTGCATAATAATCAGCTATATTAAATCACAAATCGTTCCATTTGTGGTGATATTTGCTTAAGAAGTTTACATTTTTATCTTGACTAGTTTTTCTCTATGGCAAAAATGGCACATGCAATAATTAATATTTATTTAAAAATTGTATGCTATTTAATAGTTCATAACAATTTGATTAAACGGACAGTCTAAAATGTTACAAAATTCATAATTCTATATATATATATTAGAATTTAATTATCGTATATAACTCTCGCTAAAAATGCGCCCATTGTATTTGATAAGAATCTCTTATAAAAGTAAAGTTTAAATCGCGTAATATTAAATTTTTGGTAAGTATAAACTTGATATGTTCGATCGAACATTAATATAATACAATAATTTTGTAAGGCAAGAAATTGTGTTTTTCGATTTTATGATCTAAAAACTTTAAACTGCATGGAATGCTATCTATGCAGTCTCTAGAATTGTACATTATTTATAAGTCTACCCATACTCGGAGGTGACCGTCAAACTGATGTTTCCATTCATAACATAAGTGCCATGATACCAAATTCTTGTATCTAAAAGAACAATATCTCCAGCATGAACAGTGAAATTAAAACGCGTACAAATATGATCGCATTCCGGAGTTGGAGCAACAGTCCATATTTTGTCGCCTATAATTTGTCCTTGCCACATGAGTCGCGAGATGTAGTCCAGCTGTTTGTATGTAACAAAAATAATGAAATTGTAATATACATGAACAAAACTGTAACTACAAATATCATACATTATTGTTTTTGTACATACATGCATAGCAGCACCTTCCTCGTATCCCAAAAAAACATAATTGGTATATGGAACTTCTGCATCTTCTGGCAAAAAATGAGGTAGACTGTAAAACTTTCTCATAACATCCAAAATTTGAAGATGACAGTTTTTCCAACCAACATACCATGGGTCTTTTCCATTATGTTGCATAGCTCTATCTTTGCTCATTGCAAAAACATCGCGTAAATTGGTGAAATTACTTTTGAAATGCAAAAATTGGCATTCCTCTGCCGAATCATAAGCACCGTCTATAGATTCATACAAATCTCTGAAGAATTTCCAACTAAATACCTTGGAAGCTGGCCAATGGCCAGCAGCATTTTTTATCACCATAGGTTGAGAAGAATAGGCATACTGTTTGAATTCTTCTCTAGTTAAATTTGGTAAGATCAAAGCTGCAGTAACATTGCGACAATAATTGCAATTTGCTATTGGTCTTGTAAATTCCCATATGAAATAATTATTTGGTATTAGACATCTTGTACCACGTATACTTTTAATCACATCAATGTACACGTATTTAAAAAGCATACTGCAAAGTATTGGCATAAAAAAGGCAAGGAGAACCTTCTTTGAACAGATGTAATGAAAAATGGAGCTTTTTGTGTGTCTTCCATTATTTCGTACACTGGCAGATTTTAGGTCAGACAGAGATGCACCTTGTTCCAAAAAGCTTTCGGTTAATATTAAAAATGCTTCTTGTATTTGTTCTAAAGCATTATCACTTTCTTCCATTACTAATAGTATCGGTAAACATGAAAAGTTTCTCTATCAAAACAAATTTAAATGACTTTTAATACCCAATATTTCAAAATCTTTTTATCAATATTGTTTCAATCGGTTTCAATAACATTTTATCGTTCCTATTTGTTGATTTAACTTCTGGTTGTTATTCAAACAGCTCCAAAACACGTTCATGTTTCAGCTTGAGAATAACATTGATCTTGTCATTACCAGTATACGCGTTATAAAATTTATAAACTTTACATCGTTTTAATAAACGTATTTCTTTTTCTCTTCTTACACTTTACTCAATTTGGCGATCGTACTTCGAGCATAGACTTCGTATGGCAAAAAGATATTCAATAGCTTTAAAAATATTCATCGTGTGTCGTCTAGATGCATACTCGGTGTTTGTGATAGCTAAACGAACGTATATTTCTTCCTTCTATATACCGATGTACATATTACGGTATCAATAATGACAAAAACGACCTAGCCGAAGCGCCTGACTGTGTGTGTTTCACTATACATAGGTATCTTTGAACACGCGCGCACATAATCGTGTATCGAGTCAAGCCTTGAATCACTTATGCTTCATCGAAATGTGAAGGTTTCATAGATTGCACAACAAATACTATCATTCTCCGACTTGTGCAAAAATACTGTTTTTCCTCGTAATAATTTGTCTATCTTGTTCTTCCACGGAGCAAACGAGAAAGCCTGATGCCCGTTCGTTCGACTAAAAGTAATTTAATACCCTAATAGGAAGTTTCCTGTTCACGTGCTGAACAAATGTGGGCTAACGTAGGCCGTAGGTAGGCGGTAGCATAGTTTGTACGGACAGAAAGCAAATTCGTAAAACGCTATTTTGAACAATAAAGCAAACACAAGTAACATAATATTTCAAATGTAACGAGAAAAAAATAGGGGGAAAAAAATGAAATGGAAATATTACTTGGGTCTGCGTACGTGCGTTTCAAATAGAGTTATAATTTACCTTTCATAACGTTACAAATAAAATATTTCTCAATGCCGTTTTAGAAATTTGATACAGATAAGAATGTACAAGGTGTTCAATCACTAATGGTAATCCTTCATTTATAGTAGCATAAATCAAACATGACGAAAATCGAGTATAACGAAATTCTGTTGATATTGAATCGAGAAATTAAATAGTAGAAGATAGAAAATAATTTTATTAGGGAAACTTAAATGATACCGGATGGGGCATGTGTCTACTCCGAAGATGGAGGACTTTGGTCACGTCTATTTTTTTCATTCTTTAAAACTATATTTTCAAAAAACTATCAAGATACTTATGTCGATAAATGTCTTACCTTAAAAAATATTTTATTCATAAAAGTAATACCAAACACGAACGAAATGTTCGAATCAAATGCAACAGAATAAATGGACTCGTTCGTTGCCTAATTGGTGCATACAAGAAAAAAAATTAGAGGTAACCTTGAAATCATCGGAACTTGTTCACTTTTGGAATAGACACAAATACTAAAAATTATAGCTGACTCCAGTTGCGTAAAAAGTGAAACAAATTTTTATTCGATCTTCTCGAACGAAATAAAAATAAATCAAATCTTGGATTTTTCGCGGATGTTTGGAATTAACCGAATGCGTAATCGCTGCATGGAAATAGAGTTAAAAAAAGAAACACAATACAACAAAGAAGTCTTAAAATTATTTATTTTATCAAATCACACAACATGATGTACAAGTCATATTTAAACGGACATTGAAATTGATTTTTAATGTGCAAATTGCAGTTATGAATTCCATGTAGATATTACGGTAGATAAATTTGATTTGTCATTTTTCGTAATTTTCATTTTAGTTGTATACATTACATGGTATAAAACCTAATTTACAGCAGTTATAATATTAAAGTTATGCAATATTAATTTGCTTTATGCTCGTCGAGATACAGTCCACTTGAATTTTAATAAACTTCTAATTCTGAGACAGTTCTTTTCCCTGACAATTTATTCTTTTTGTATAGGTAAATGTTAAAACTCAAACGTAAATATGGATGCATTTAATTTGGCAACAAATTCGTTGTTTTATTATCGAACAATGTCGTGTAATGAATGTTTTTTCTTTCGCGCAAAATGCGGACTATATGTATATCTTGATAGTGACCTAGTTCGCTAGAATCTAACCAATACTTATAATTCGTGCTATTTTATCTTCTGATTAAGCAACATACGATCGTGATAATATTTAAGAGAGCTGTTTCGATATTAAATCTAAATTATAAATATTGTAATAAAATTGAAAACATTACTCGCGTACCTGAACTATTATAATTTATTCTTTAATATTGTTAAATATGATAAAAAGTTGAATTATTTCTCGACGAACTTCAAAAGATTGTAAATGCAACATCATAACTTCTTTCTTCACTTCCTCCTATAAATGTAATTTTATAAACATTTCACTTTAATTTTAAAGGTTTACGCATTCCTATTTAAATAAACAGAATGGGTTAAAATTCTTTAATCTGTTCATTTAAACAATAACTTTGTTTATAAAATAACGAATATTTTTAACATAAATGTATTTTTTAAGAGTTAAAAAACTTATTATATTTACAAGTCTTTTACATGGTACAATTCAATGAAATTATTGTTACAATTATAGTGTTATCTCAATGTATAAAAAATTTGGATAGTTCAGAAATCACAATATCGTGCAAATACTTTATAATCGAAAAGTATGCTTCTGAAAGCGAACATGTCGATTTTATAAAATGACTGCCATCATTTTCAACAAGATTAAACATTATTTATCTAAAAGATTTTCTTAACAGAATACTTTGATTAGGACACATCGGTTATAATCCAACGCAAAATAAGTTATTACTTACTGTTAAAAGTGTGTGACTAGCACAGTCGTGTTTGTATCAATGCTTACACCTGATTACACTTTGCTTTTGTAAAGACAGACATTTCCATCAGCGAGATTGATCAGAAGTAGCACCACTTGCCAAGAATAGCATCTTTTATAGCCGGTATGTATTGTGCAGGAACCCAATATATCCAATATCTCGAAGCCTCTGTTGTGCCCAGTTGTATAGCCTGTGATGTATAAGGGCATTTAAATAAAAATATTTATGCAAGTTATAAAAATACATACATTATAGAAATACAAACCATAATATGATATTCTGGATGATCGTGTATAGCTTCACTGTGTACACCTTTTATGGAATTCATAGGTACTTTATCGGTTCTTTCTTTTGTACCTATCCAAAGTTGATCTTGTTCCAGTTTAAATGTTAATCTAACTTTGCCACCAGATTTGTTTAACATGCCAAATAATGGAAATTCGGGTAAGGGCTCCTAATTTCAATTCAATCCATTTAGTTTAGACTATTACTTCAATTGATCGATTTAATCATTGATTTATAAAATCATACCTTGCTGCTACCTAATAAACCAGGCATAACATCTTCCGGAATACCTTTATCTAAAACTTTCCTATGCATTTTCTGCTGAGACCATGGTTCCTTATCCGCGGTGGAAGCAGCTTCGTCCGAAAGATCTTGCTTTGTTGGAATTGACACAGCTAATACATCATCTAACTTTGATCCTACTACCATGACTTTGGCACCTTAAAAGTACAATACAATAAAATATGAAACAAGAACAATTTTAAAGAAGTAATTAACATAATAGGAAATATATTTCTCTGTCTGTGAAATTACCTTTTGTAACACCCAAACTTTTAAGCGTTTGTTCATCTTTGGCTAAACCTTTGATCATAACTTTTTGCATGGCTTGTGGTACAGATATGATGTTTTGTAGATGTGCTTTTAATTCTGCAACAGTTCCATCCAGCGGGAAATTTATGTTAATCCGCTGTTTGTTATAAATCACTTTAAAGTCTATATTCTCTCTGGGTGGATCTTGCGAATTAGTTGCAATATTATCTTTTGGCTGTGCATCTAAAATTTCACACTTTGGCGTAGGGTCTTTTATTTCTATAGATGAATTTTCATTAGAATTTGTATTTGATACTAATTCAGCACAAGGGGTTACATTAGAACAATTGTCATTGGTTTCACCCTTTGCAGCATCTGAAAATATATGAAATACTTATTGGAATATTTATAATTATGCTTCTAAATGTAAAATAATCTTTTCTACGAATAAGTAATAGTTATTTTATATTTGTTGCAGTAAAAATTTAACACGCGAAAATCTGTGAACGTTTATAAAAAGGAAAAATGTTATAGATATATTAGACAAGGTTATGACCAAAGTGATACGTGTCTAAGAAAAAAACAGCGATTTACAGATGAAACTTATATAGGTCAATTGATGCTCGTTTAATTTAATGTAATTCAGAAATAGATGTGTAAAGAGTTTTCAAACAGATGATTGTTATTTATAAAATTAATTCAACGTATACAACTGATAGTTAAAATATTTTACAAAGAGGATTATTTCAGGTGACAGATATTCATTATATTCGAAATAATTAAAAACAGGCGTAACGAACGACGATGAAAAATATTTATTGGTTGACAATTGTTACTAAAAAGCATGAAAAATCGTCAAGATTTAGTGTACGTACCCACGTACTCCATGATGAACTGTATTTCGTTGACCAATCAAAACTGTTGCAAGATGCATGTAATTTCTGCCATTCGTATTTACAGCGATCCTTGGAATGACTTTCAAATTTTCAAATATTTCAGAAACAACGCAAGAATTCCTTTTTTATCCAAATCGAGATCAATCAAATGTACGTTAAAGCGATTCGAGAGTTTTAAATATTCAATTTAACGTTTGAAATATGTTGCATACTAATCGGAACACAAGTTAGACGTTGATAAGCGTAACGATAAAATTTTTAATAATATCTCATTCATCTTTCATAGAAACAATGTACGGGAAGAAATCTATTGCTTCTAAAGTATTCTGTCGAATAGAATAATTTTATCTCGAATACACCTGATTGTTCTGAATATACATATTTCAGTGGCTTTGTTTTTTTTTCAATATGGTTTTGTAGTCGATGCTGTAGCACAATTTGATCATCAAATGCTTATAGGGTAGAAAGTTCATTTATTGGTATTGAATAATAACGAATAAGAAGTAAAGGAAGGACATTTATTTTCAATAAATAAATAGAAGAAATAATGAAATATTGCCAGAGTTGATCGTTTAGGTGACAGTAATTTCTTTTGGAAAGAAATTAACTTAGTCAAGGACTGTTTGATCCCTCTTCGCATGAAAATTCTCGTGATTTGTCTGTAAAATAATTATTTAATTGCTGGTTGAGTGTCGTATCGGTAATCGGTACGAATGCGAATACAAAATCATGTATTTGGACGCCGTGAGGTGGCACTGTAATCTCAGATCGCCATCTTGTGCACCACATGACCTCGTTGCCGTGTCCCGTGACCAGCTCACGTGAATTTTGACAAATTCAAACGTTTTTGGTAGAAAAAAATGGATATGTTGGAGCAGCACCTCGAACAGCAGGATGTCAGGTAGTGTTTATGTTAAATATCAACTGGCTGATAATGCGAACACCTATCCCTCCTGTTTCGCTCGAGGTCTCCTCAAGGTCACCACGTAGTGCACAGTGCGCACTTACAAGACTTAGGACAACGGTCGTGGAAGTAATAGGCATAGACGTAATTCTATAGATACGTTACATATCCATTCTTCAACGTATCTACGCTTCTTTTACAGCACTGTTAACGCGAAGGATGACAGCGGCACGGGAATTGTTATCGAAGAAGCGGAAATCGTCGACTGCGAAGGTAAATACCATCAAAAGTTTAACACTAGTATATACCTCATGAACGTAAAATTTATGCGACAATCTTACGACTAGTAGGATCAAGTAAATAATACAAGTATTCGTGCCCTAAGTAAATATATTAAATTCACTTCTGTAGTAAATAGATAGCAAATCAGAATTAGAAGATAACCGAGCATTATCCATATGTGAGGTATATACTCGTGCAATTTGATTTAGAGTAATCATTTACGTGTATTAATAGAAATTACAAATCTTTTATAGGAGAAACTGTCGGAGAAGATGGAATGCGCTATCAAGAAGCACTTGCGTATAGAGTGGTCCAAGTAAACGGCACTACAGGTGGAAATGAAATAGAATTGCCCGTTACTCAGCCAGGAAATAATACTGTACAGGTCCTAACATCCCCGTTAAATGGCCAGTTTTATGTTATTGGAAATGCTAACGAAGTTTTCACCACTGCGCAAACTTCTAGATCTCTGGTTCCTAGAACCACCACTTTACAAATAGAAGCACCAAGAAATTGTACTACAGGATTGAAGAAGGTACAAATCAGTTTTAAAATAATTTTTATTGTATTTGTATTTGATATAACACGCGTATTTAATTGTGTGTTCCAGAGGGACGACAGGCGAAGGGCGACTCATAACGAAGTTGAACGCAGACGAAGAGATAAAATAAATAATTGGATTGCAAAGTTGGGAAAGATTATTCCCGAATGCAATACTACTTCGACCGCTAATGGTAGCGGTAGCAGCGGCGAAGGCAAAGCAAATTATGAAACGCAGGTACCACACTAACGTTCACGTTAAAAATTTTTATAAACAAACATGTGTAAGAACTTGTATTTATTGGTATTGTATACAGAGTAAAGGAGGAATTTTGGCAAAAGCCTGTGAATATATAGGAGAATTGCGGGCAGCTAATCAAGGGTTGGGTAAGTGTTTACGGGACAATGAAAAGCTACGACAAGAAATAACTGCCTTAAAGCAACTTATTACACAGTTGAAACGTGAGAATCTTCAACTCAGGACACAAATAACATCCACCACAGGAACTAATGTTGATGTTGTTCATTTGAGTCCTTAAAATATTCTTAGTTTACAACACAGTGCTTCTTTTTGTAAATATTAGAGTACGTAAGCTGATTTTTAACGATCAGACGAAGTATTTACTCTTATGATATTTTTTTCATGCGAGCCACATCAAATTTCGTCATATTGGAATTATATTCTTCAAGGTATATATGTGTAACATGGTCCTAATGGTATGGTCATAGCTGAATTTTTCCAACTATTGCGTCTGTATATATTTTCGTCTGTCAATTTTTTAATAATGCAAGGAAATAGTAGCATAGATTATTTTGTGCCTAAAAAAAAATAATTAATCGTGTACGCAAAATCAGATTTTATGCGCACGTATATTTTATTAAAATATCGTTTCATACGATTAAAGATAATTCTTGTAATAAGTTCGAGCTATCTGTTGTAAATAATTTTTATCTTTTCTTTTTCATAGAAAAAGATCAATCACAGAATTTCAAAGTTTACATTTTTGATGCTACATTTGTACGATTTATCGAAATATTTTAAGTGCAATTTTATATTTTAATATCACAGCAGTCGAAAAAGGAATGAGGTCGATATCGTTAAAGTTACGACTATTCCTCGTAGGACCTACTGAAAATTATCTTATTTCTGTATATGCATGTGCATTGGATCGAATTACCTCGTGTACGTGAACGAGCCAAGGCTGTGAATATTGAACATTGATTTTGGAATTTTCGAACTATGAAGTTTTTTAAACAAAAAAAGAGATAAATTTTGTTGTAACATGATCGATGAAATTGCGATATGAAATATGACGACTGAATTATTAGAAGATCGTTAAATATTTTTTATTTTTAATACTGTTTTCACAAGTGTAGAGTAGGTACTTGATGAAAATGAACTAGGGACTGAGAATGTAAAATAGATTAATCGTACACGTATGGATGTGTATGTATATTTATATATGTATATATACACGTGTGTGTACATATACATATACGTATGCATATAGCAATAAACATATTTTTTTCAACTCGAGATTCTGCACGCCATGAAAGCGCATCGGAGTCATTGAAAAATTAAGTAACTGGTTTGTAATATATCGTTAATGTATATACCGCGAAGTTATTGTTATATAATAATATTATTATTATTAAAATGAAATTTAACGAAACTCGTTAATTTTATTCCATCGATAATCCCGAATAAAGTGTATAGTTGTGATTTTTTTTTTAATGCATAGTCTTTATTCGTTTTTTTACATATGATACAATGGAAATGTCGAAGTTAGCGGAACACTGTTTGCGATGCATCGTTTTTCTGTACTTTCTTTTAACGATAAAAGACCCTGCACCTTAACAGTTTAACATTTTGACACTTTTTTTGTAAACTTTCTATATAATTTTCTTCATCTACTTTTATGTAACGTCTGCATTCGTCGTTTAACGCGTTTACATAATACAATATTTAATACTCTTTAATTGAAGTTTCGTACTTGGTAAAAAGCTATCATATCATCCCATACCACAACAAAAATAACAGCGCGTCGTTAACTATATCGGTTTATGCTTCGGTGAAACAACGCGTTAGGATGAATGGAAAGCTTCTTACGATACTTTTATCCTTTTACATACATACAAACGTTCCTCTACCGAAAACCTTTCGATTCGAAAGTTTCGAGTAATAGTTATTTTGACTTGGAACAGACAAAATATACTTGAATTGTTTTTTCCCCGGACAATTTAAACTAATTACATAGAATTTCATTTCAAGGTTCGGAAGTAATTTGTAGCAGTTAATGTATATTTGTAGCAACTGGAAACACATTTAAGGACGTCCTATTTTATTGTTTCAACAGTCACGCATTATCTTCTGTTAAATGTTAGTTAATACATGTACAATTATAGTAAATTTTATATTTGTAACTCTTTATGTACAATTATGTTTTTTTTTTCGTTTTGTTTTTGTTTTTGTTTTTTCAAGTATTGAAGTTAATGTAACAGCTTTACGTGCGATACGTGATTATGAATGCCTATTAATTATATACTTCTCTCCAACAGATCCAGGACATCCTTAAACGACCAGCATAAGATTCCTGAACGTTTACGCGGAGGAATTATATTCGTACGATTGCATTTGATAATTAATCTTCTAGATTTCTAAATGCCTGTTGGATATCTTCGTGCAATTGATCGAAGTCAGCTCTGATTTTTGCTTCGCCGTCTTTCACCGGGTCCTGAAATAAATAAAAGTTACATAAATTTTGCTCTTCGATTTTAAATATGTTGCAACACTATATCTTGACAATAATATTTACCTTGAATTTCATGGAACTCAATTGGTACAGAATGTTACCCATACTATCTCTAATAACGTTCCACGTTATTTTATTGTCAGATTGTGCTGTGGACTCCACCGCATGTCTCGCCATATCATAGAAAGCAATCATGTTTCGTAACATTCCTACAGTTTTGTAGAATGGACAGAAACGATCGTACGACGAATAACTGCAAAAAATTAATTAGGTATACATGCATATGGGACGATCAGCGTGTTTGTTAGTACTCGATAAATATTGATCGTAACCTGTTCTGTTGTAGGAAGTCGTCTTTCAAAAGTTTTGCGACCTCCAAAGTAATCTTATCCGTCTCGGCTAGAGAAGCTTTACCAACTAATTGTACAATCTCGGACAAGTCCTCCTCTTCTTGCAGAATCTCTTTTACCTTCGTTCTTAGAGGGACGAATTCTTGGAAGTTCTTGTCATAGAAGTCGTCTAAAGCTCGCAGATATTTACTGTACGATATAAGCCAGTTAATAGATGGGAAGTGTTTGCGCTGTGCAAGTTTCTTATCAAGACCCCAGAACACCTAAGGAAACAGATAAATGAAACAAAATTTCAAAGTCCATACTTTTGTAGAGATATAGAAGAAATTGCTGCTGCGTCAATACCTGCACGATACCAAGAGTAGCACTCGTAACAGGATCAGAGAAATCACCACCCGGTGGTGATACAGCACCTACAATACTGACGGAACCTTCGCGGTCAGGATTACCTAAACATCTCACTCTGAAAGCAACACACTTAACATTGGTAACATATTTCATTGCCGGAATTAATGAAAAAGATAAGTCGAAAGTTTGTCCCAGTTTCTAGAATCATCTTATACAGTACCTTCCTGCACGTTCGTAGAAGCTAGCTAAACGAGCACCAAGATAAGCGGGATAACCGGAATCTGCAGGCATTTCAGCCAATCGGCCAGAGATTTCACGAAGAGCCTCGGCCCAACGTGACGTCGAATCTGCCATCATCGAAACATTGTAGCCCATATCTCTAAAATATTCCGACAGAGTGATACCTAAGGAGCAAAGTAACAAACACATTAACATCTTCATCCAAAGAACTGTTAAGAATGAAACATTTACAAGAGTACATTGTACACGTACCAGTGTAGATTGATGCCTCACGAGCAGCTACAGGCATGTTTGATGTATTAGCGACCAAAGCAGTACGCTTCATGATGGACTCCGTAACACCGTCAATTTCCACCGTCAGTTCGGGGAAGTCACGCAATACTTCGGACATTTCGTTTCCACGTTCGCCGCAACCGACGTAAATAATGACATCGGAATTCGAATACTTGGACAAAGCCTGTGAAATTACAGTTTTGCCGCAACCAAAGGCACCTGGGATTGCAGTTGTTCCACCTTGAACGCATCTACGATTTTAATAAATAGTCTAAGCAGCCATGTCTTTAATCAGCAGTTATAATAGAAAACAATGAACTAAATTCTTACGGGAAGAGCGAGTCTAAGACTCTTTGGCCAGTGAGCAAAGGATGATTAGCCGGCAATTTTTCAGTAACTGGACGAGGCTGACGTACTGGCCATATCTGCATGCCATTATTATTTATATTAGTACGATCGTACAAACTGTACTCGTCGGCAAAATTTAAAGATCAGTAATTATTGTACTTATACGAAGTAAGAATGATTGATTTACCTGAAGCATACTATACTTGTGCGTTTCGCCATCGAACTCTGTTTCCAGTACAATATCCTATAAAACATACGAAAAAATAAAGATATACTATCAACTGTATTAAACGACTTGATACAATATTATTCGGAATTGTGAAAACATATAGCTTACTGTAACTTTATAGTCTCCAGCAGGGGCTACATAAGTCACAGTTCCCTTGCTTTTTGGAGGTAAAATCATTCTATGCTTCACTAATGTGTTCTCATAAACTACACCGAATAGATCTCCACCGGTGATGTGACTGCCATTCTTTATATTCGTTGGATTAAATTCCCAAGATATGGATCTTGATAATGCTGGCACATTGATACCCTTTGGAATGTAAATGGAGCTGGTAAGTTCGTTAATGTCCTTTAAAGGCCGTTGAATACCATCAAAAATACTCCCAAGAATGCCAGGTCCTAATTCTACGGATAATGGTTTACCAGTACGTAGCACAGGATCACCTACAGTTACACCATTAGTTTCTTCATATACCTATGTAACAACAAATTAACACACGGTATTGTTAAAACACATATGATTATTACAATATTATAGTATGAACATTATGTGAATATTTACAACAGATTTGACATACCTGAATGGTGGCCATATCACCTTCCAGACGAATAATTTCTCCCACCAGTTCGTAATATCCTACTCTAACCAGCTCGTACATAGCTGAGCCAGACATTTTCTGAGCAGTGACAACTACAAGAAAATTCACAATGTAAGTAAGGTAAAAACCATGAAGCTAACCATAGAAATTATATTGTGCACTAACCAGGACCAGATACGGCGTACACATAGCCAAATATGGATTCCTTTTCTTCATCAGCAATTCTTGGCATCCCATGGTTCGTCATTGTGAATGGTTATTCAATTAAAACCACACGATAGCTGAAAGGAAGTAACACAATAAAATATGTCCAACTATAGTAAGAAATTGAATTAATACTCTCTTGTTGAGTGTTCTTATAAGAAACTAATGAAATTTATTAGTACAAGGTCAGTACTGGTCAATTAATTTCACAAAAATGTAGACTTTTGTGCAGACAAATTTATTAACATATTATAACAGAGCCCCATAGCCCTGAAGATGCAAACTGTAAAAACGTTGGCAAATTGTTAAACCTAGACAAAACATCCATCCAAATCATCAAGTCATAAATATTAGCATTAACTCCGGTCGCAAAAATACCAAATCACGTGTTAATGCACAACGTTTGATCATGAGATCGAACTGGAGCTACTTCACATTGACACACGATAAAAACGATTTGAACACTTCGCGTTGACATGAAATATAACGAAGCAACTACGAAAATAAAAGCAACGATTTCGTATAATATAATCGAATACAGTGTTCTTACAAATACCGCGAGTAAATTTCGCTGATAAACTCAGTGTCAAGTGATGCATTCATTCATCATAAAATTCACGTGAGCAGTTCATTTAAAAAGTAGGCGTAGCCCTCTTTAAGCCCGCGAGACGTCTGCTGGGCGACCAGAACATCGATTCCAAATGAAATATTTGGTAATCGATCGTCAGTAAGGAAGAGCTTAATTTCCTATTTGCAGGATTTTGTTCGAAAATTGCGATTCTGTGCATTGCTAACCGAATAAAACGTATAAATTCATATCGTTGACCGAAAAGCGATGGCGCATTCAAACTCATGCGATCGATACAGTACGCGATAGCCTTTTCGCAAAAATTTCAAGCACCATCTATCCATTGCGAAATTATTTTAATCGTACCGGTTATATGGTAAATTTAGGAGTGCATAGCGATCCATAATCAATTAAATAAGTGACAGTAAAAATACTTACGAGATGTACAACGTATAGAAGCAAGTCCACCCTACAACAGCGAATTAAGTTTCACAGTCGAGCCTGACTGCTATCACAAGACAGGTCAGCTGACTGAACGATGTGCTAGTTTTCAATTGCTAGCCCTCGTAAAATTAAGGGCCGATTTACAAGTAGACGAAACTGTAACGATGATTTTTAAATTCACTACCAGAGGGTAGTGAAGGTTTCATAGTTTGTCCAATAGAGTAAAATTTCTTTAAATAGCAAAATCTTTCATCGAACAGGCTTGCGTCTAAGGTAGAGTTAGCTAGGTATGAACAATAAATGCACAAATTATTAACAAAATTAGTCAATACAATAGAATAATGTTTTCCTTCTCGTTTTACGTTTCGGTTTTCACTTTATTATGTTTAAAACGTAAGATACAACATTGTAGTGTGACTTGGAAACAAATCCAACAAAGAAAACTGATCATTTCATTTAATACAAAACAAAATAGGCGAATACAATCTGTGTTCTTTAGTACAAGAAATTTGATTTACATTTACAAAAGCGTCGAGTTTAAAATTAGATATGGACTGGCTTCAAAAAGTTGAAATAAATTTTACGTAGGCAATAACATTAACCAGTGACATTAACGATGAATTGAATATCCATACAGTACACGCGGCAATTACAAATTGTGTTCATATTCGTTTTTGAACAGCGCTGATGAGAGCTAGTTAAAATTAGAGCAGCCAAGGTACGGTTAAACTGAATTGCTATAATTACAATAAAATGTACACACACACATACATATATGTATATGTATATTTATATATATTTGTGGTTTTCCTTGTCGAGCACTTCCTCTTTCAAAAATGAGTAAAAATAGAATTATCGATGCCTCAACGGACGGAAGTATTTACAGTCCACGAAACTATATAAATTTAGTTTTAATTGAAAGTCGTTTAAGCAATCTGCATTTTTTTAATAGGGACAAAATTAAGCATATGATACGTTATATTATTAATGTAGAATATAAGCAAAATTTATTTCTATTTTCAATAAGCTAATCGTGTGCCCTTAAACTGTTAAACTATGGGAGAAGATTAGGAAAGATATCTTGCCAGTATGACATTTATTCTCTTAAGTCAAATTATTTCTTTCTCATACTTTTTCTAATTATTAAAAACCAACGAAAATATTTTAAAGTGGCCAATGTGAAAAGCACTGTCCATTCCCCTACCCACGAAATTGTTCGGTGTAAACGCGCCATCTAGGTAACTATAAATCGAAACGAATTAGCTACACGCGACAGTTACGTAACCTATTTCTTCGTAGACGTACGCGTCCGTGTATGTGGTAACAATGTAGTGTACTTATATATCTCTTAGCTTGCAAGCGGAGGCTACCAATCGAATCTCGAGTGCTGGATCGCGTGCATGTCGGCTATTTTGAGGCACGATACACTCCTAACATTGAGACTTTGTCGCAGTTTGGTGATTACCCGCGAAGTTCAATTGATCAGTGCGTTTCATCGTAGACCTTAACTTTGTCAAGAAGAAGCTATTCATTTTCGAATACCATGGATTTAAACAATTTGCACGAATTCATGGAGTTGATTGGACGATTGAAGGTAAATATCATTGTAAAGAACACATCAACTTGTAGTTTCATTGAACGTGGGCAGACGCCTAATATTCATATGTATGTCAAACGTTTCATTTGACATTCCTAATCAACTTCGATCAATATGATTTTGTGTAGATAATAATGTAGATAAAATTCGTTACTATACCGTATATAGCATATTTCTTACGTAATGATTCTTAAATAATTCTTGACATTTATGAAAAACAGAATAATCGAACATTGTATAGTAACGTCATCTGGTTAAATGTTGGTTCATTTAAAACTGCACACAGCTTGAAACGAAAGTATGTAAAATACTATTTTGGATGACAGATGTCAGTGTAAAACACTATTTTGAGTGACGAAGCGTTGTCAAAACAGAATAGGGAACAAATGAAATAAAAATATTTTAATATTATAAATATCTTGGAATGTTTAAAATCTTCGAAATTCCTCATAATGATACCTTTTGCCTAGCTCTGTAGGATACAACAATTAGGATTAAAGTTTACATACCATAAAACAAATATATATACATACACATATATATACACATATATATGTATACACTGTATATATATATATATATATACAGGAATGATTATTTTGAACTATAACTTCTACCTAGAGCAGTTATAAAATTTATTTTAATCTTGTGTATATATTTTTGATTTTAGCACATGAAGAGGACAGGATGGGTGCACAAGAAAATTTCTGATCCGGAAACAGTTGCTGGTCACATGTACAGGATGGCCATGCTGTCATTCTTAGTAGATAACAAAGAAAATTTAGACAAAATCAAGTATGAAATGGTGTTCTTATTGTTGTTTGTATATAATTTGTCATTGTCAAAACTTTATTAATCGAATGAATTATTCTTCGCTAATTGTAGAATTATGCAGATGACTTTGATACATGACTTAGCCGAATGCATCGTGGGAGATATAACACCTTATTGTGGTATTCCACCCGATGTGAAACACAGGTTAGAAGATGAAGCTATGGAGGAGATTTGTAAACTTCTAGGCGACAAAGGACCTATGATATTGGAAATTTTTCGTGTAAGCGTTACTAACATATGCTATACACACATGTATACGTATAAATATATTTTCCATTGATATATATTTTTATTCGCAGGAATATGAGAAACAAGAATCTGCAGAAGCAAAATATGTGAAAGATCTGGATAGGTTAGATGCAATTATGCAAGCATACGAGTATGAGAAAAGAGACAATATTCCTGGCGTGTTGGAGGAATTTTTTGTAGCGTGTCATGGAAAAATCGGGCATCCTTTCATTAATAAAATAGTGTCTGAAATTACTTTAAGAAGAGAAGCTCTATGTCGTAATTTATCTACTTCAAAATAACAAACAAGGTCTCTGAAACAAAAGTTGCATATCAAAATTTTTTATTTCCCTCAGTTTTTATACATTTAATTCATTACATTTAACAAACATTATATATAAGGCATTATATATATTAGGGCAGAGAATATGATCCAGATTTTTTACTTATCCAGATACTCTATATTTGATTATTCTAATAGTCCTGGTACTATAAGGAATGGTAGAAAATAATGTTTTACACCTTAGGATATTTTCCCCTATTTTCTGTAAAAGTGGTATGTTTTGAAATGTAGCTATAATCAAATTTGAAAATTACAGTTTGATTTATGGTACTAGGTAACAAGAAAAAGAAAACATCATTTTCGTTTAGTAAAGTAAGAATGATTGCTAATTTTGTTGTTTTATTTTATAGTAGTAGTAGTATTTGAAGTAAATACATTTTGTTGCTATAGAAGAATCAAAATGGAAGCTGTACTTTTAATTTTAAGATCTCAACAAAAAATGAGGTATTATTGTGTTAGTTTTATGCTGAAAATAAGTTACTTATTTTCGTTTAAAAGATGTCTTTTGGTAATGATTTGTCAAATATAAGCAGAAACCGCAATAAAAGATTTCTAAAAAGTTTGGTTTATTACTTCTATGTAAAACAAAATTTTATACATGGAAAGGGTAGTGAATATAAATTCAAACACCTCGAAAAATATATCGATCAATTACTATATTCTATTGGTCGTAGTTTTCTCGGTTTTTCCGCAAATGTAATTGATACACCCAGACACATACATTCGTCATGTAACGCATTCATACGTATCCTATCTAAAGCTTCGGTATATGTTTGTTATGTATATCGAGATTACGATGGAATCGGTCGGTTATACAACTAGGAAAGGTGAATAGAGGTGTTTTGTCGGTATTCGAATCAGTTCGAAATTTCGTTCGCTCACGAAAGGATCTGCAAACAGCAGAGTACAACATAAATATAACTCTTATGTTACGTGAATTCCCCAATTGCGTGTATTAAGGATAATAAAACTTTCTTTAGAAAACACTAATCAGGAATGAAAAGTAATAAAGCGACAGAAAACAGAGTTTCGTAAGAATAATAAGATCACGTGGTATCGTCGACGAAATACGAGTACGAGCAGAGCGATCGATCGATTCCGAACAGCTGTGCATCGCATGGCGAAAACTTGGCTGAGTATAATCAGCCTCCTAGAGTAATATCTTATTGTTTAGGAATTAGTCATATCGATAAAGAATCGTAGGTCGATCGTGAACAAATTGAAACATTCGTTAAACGTATTCACCCGTGATATCGATTATTCCAAAGCAGAGAAACAAACCGGCCGGTGAAACTGTTTGTTTCGTGACGTTACTACAGCATCGCACGTGAGCCATACAAATAATAAAAGGTGCCAAAACTATGACCGATTCGGTTGGTAGGAAAAAATGGCCGTCTGCTGAAAAATTTTTGGCCAATCTCGATTTATCGGGCGAGAAAAGTACTTTAAACGAATCAAATTTTCGCGTGATTTGCGCAGCCCTGTTCTCACCGGACGAGATCCAGCAGAATGATTGGAGGATTCAGGATATTTTTAGTTTATTCGATCGCGATCGCGACGGCGTACTGGAAGGACAAGAATGGAAAACGTGAGTACCTGTATGTATATGCTGAGTTTGAAACAGACAATGAACCGTTTAAGTAATTGAGCGTTACGTTTGAATGCTTTGCGAACGATCATAGTTTTTTTTTCGGCACATTGTTCGTTGCCGGAAACGAACTGACGTCACTATACGATGATCGAACAGTTTGATTGCTGTTTCAAGAGATTTATACGAGGATAAGTTGTTCACCGATACCATTGGCACCGCGATTGTTATATCGATACCATCGATATGGTAAACAATAATTTTCCATTGTCGTGGAATTAGATACGTATTTAAATCACGTAGTTTATAATTGTACTGTAATATATTTATTTTTTCCCAGTTTTTGGATACATCAGGTGTTTTACTTGTATATAATTTGAATGGTTCTTACAGTATGAATAATTGCGAGAAAAGTTTCCTTCCAATACTATTCCTCCCGCCCCCGGAGTTTCCAAGGTCACTATTATTCGTGTATACATGGTAATTATTTAGAAAAGGGGTCACAACGATTTCGATAATTTTTGAATATGTTATAGAAATCAACATTTTGAACAACTTTTTCCTATACATACATACATACATATAACCGCCGCTCGGCCTTAGTTTCCGAAATTTAATAAGAAGTTGACCTCTGTATCTCTTTATCTTCATCCACAAAAAAAACTATAACGATATAAAGTTATGCCTTCCTTGAAATCAAGCAAGACTCGTTTGAATAATTTTTGTGAACGATGACTAAAGATAAAGTTATTCTTCATCGTATTTATCGTTTCTTTTCAGATTCTACGACTGGTTGCGGACAATGATCGAACCCGTGACCGCTCTACTCGTCGTGGACGTTCAAAACGATTTTATCGACGGAACTTTGGCACTCCGTGACTGCGGATGCAATCAGGACGGAGTGGACGTTGTCGAGCCGATAAATCGTCTGATAAAAGAGGGTCAGTTCAATAAAATTATCTACTCGCAGGACTGGCACCCGGGAAATCATATCAGCTTTTACGAAAATTTGCATTTACGAGAGCTCCATCCGGACTCGAAGGTACGTAACGTTACTGGAAATTGTGGTAATCGTTGCGTAGTTTTTTACGAGCGTGTAAAAATAGAACACGGTGTCGTCGTTATCGAAATTCGCACGCGCGCATGCTTAATTCTTTTTTCAGGAGGAAGAAATGATACCAAGGTAAACGTCGATTGATTATTAAAGAATTTGAACGCATTTACGATGCAACAGGTTTCTTACGAGTACAACAACATTTCTCTAAAAGGAGTTTCTTTTTTTTTTGTAGAAACACGTGCACGTCGTTTTCCCCGTTCGAAGCGTTTCGAATTCTCATTGTTCGGTTAGACTTCCCGACTCCCTGGAAATTTACGAGGCTGCTCGAGGCAGTAGTCGTTTTATTGTTATGTACATAGTAACCTTCGACGTTCTTTAACTCTTAATTTAACGACGACGGGGGGGAAAAAACGTATGTCACCGTGACGTTCTCCAGATTCTATCGGTCTTTTGTTCCTCGACAAGAGGGAACCGTGCATGGTCGCGATGCGATAATTTACCTCTCAAGAGACCGAGCGTTGAGTTAAGATACGATGTTTGGGTTCATTGGTTTATGAGATGGTCCTTCAGAAATTGTTTGGACCCTCGCGAGATTTGTTTATTTTGGAGAGAAACATGCTTCGGAAATAACCGCGGTGAAATCTTCCATTTCACGGGCTTTAAATTGAAATGGAAGTTAAAATACAAAACGATCGGTAAGGCGAATGATTACGTGTTCTGTTAGTAATTGAGTTTGAACGCGCGCAGGTGACAAAGGAAAATGCTAAACCGTTCGACACAGTGATATTCGCGGAACCTCGTTCGGAGCAAATACTATGGCCCAGGCATTGCGTGATGAACACATGGGGGTCACAGTTGCATAAAGACCTTGTGATTGCTCCAGGTACAGAACAGGTACTACAGTTTTTACCATAGATACATAATTATTTTATTTAACCGAATGGAAGAAGAAATAAACTCGGATAAACGGAGTTTGTATAATTTCCGCTGATAGTCGATCGTCTTTTAGGTGCGAAAGGGCGATAATCCGGAAGTGGACGCTTACTCGGTGTTTTACAAGTCCGAGAATTCGATAGAGTTGGAAGCAATTTTACGGAAAGCGAGCGTCACGCACGTGTACATTTGCGGTATCGCTTACGACGTTTGCGTGAAAGCCAGTTCGTTGGACGGGCTTCGATTGGGGTATCCGTTGGCCGTGATCGATGATTGTTGTCGCGGCGTCAACACGGACGACATCGAGGCCGCTAAAAAGCTGATCTCGGAGAACGGTGGTCTGATCACTAACAGCGACCATGTTCTAGCTCTGGTGAACGAGACAAAACGAAGTCTTGTTATGAGCCATCAATCCGCCAAGATGATATACTCGGTTTCGTTATCCGAAAGTTCTCAGAATGGGCGTGATTTGATACAGCATGTATCAGATCCCGAGTAGAGCTATAAAGGAATGCTTATAGAAATTAGTTAATTACTTTCTCAGATATTATGGAAGAAACCATTCTCTACAACATTCTAGACACTATAGTATACCTGAAAAAAGTTTAATTTCTGTACCTGAAAGAAAGGAATTGTCAGATTCAATTTCCTAAACATGTTGCCTCAAGAAATAATAGTTTAGGCTAGATGAACGTGTTAGAAAAGTATATCAGGTATGATTGTATAGATATATTTAAAACGTGCACGTATTATTTATATTTTTATTTAGATTAAACACGTATGTACGTACATACACGTAGCGTCAATAGCATTTTAACAAAAGAGACGCGTTGAACGTATCTAGTGGCGTAGGCGATATCTTAAGAATTGTCTCGCAAGAAATTGGAACCGTAAACATATTATCGAGCTTTAGATTCGACGATACGCTGGTGTGTTGTTGCAGTTCCGAGTACACGGTATACATAAACAGCGATTGTTAATTCCGAGGATCCCGAGGATATCGATAAAGATTTGATATAAAGAATCTGGCCACAGGTTGTGTTAGGTCTGTGTTAGGTGATACCACTTTCTGGTAAAAGAATTCTGATCGATTTAACCAGTATCGAGCGTTAATTAAATTCGGATAGATTAGGGTTTCACGTTTCCAGATAATTCAGTACGTACTTATCTATATTAAATATTTTAATTTATACATCGTGCTTGAGCTATTGCAGTATTAAATACTTTTAAAGTATTAAACAGTATTAAATTATTACTAAATTCCTTGTATATATTAAGCAGCGTAGAAACTTGTTTTGCACATTCCTTTAGACTTTCGGCACATAGTAAATATTAATATAATAAATAGAATTCCGATCTCGTAACAATATTCAGTCTGTGATTTATGTCTAACGTTGTCCGTCTATCAGCATCCGTGCATTTTTCTCAATTTTATTCGCAGACTCGTCTGGCATTAATTTGCAGACATATTTGTGCCTTGACCCGCAATCGTCGCTTTGGTAACCGTACAGCCTGGACGTTGAATTGTAGGATAGTTTTAAGCATCTGAGAATACAATGTACAAAAATCTTATTTGGTAATTGAGATTGAAACAACTTTACGTTAAAATGCGGAAAGTGTGTTCACCTGCCGTCGCCGGGAACGGTTTGCTTCGTGTTCTGATAAACTGGTTTCGCGCTGCTCGCCCAAATCCACAATAGTCCCGGATTCAATCCACCCGTCCATAAATCTTTCCCTTTAAATTTGGAATTTGATTGCAAGCTAGCCAGCACGTCACGTTTCTCGTCGTTCGTGTCGAATTCGAGCAAATGACCGCCCATTCCGCGGCAGAGGCTGGCCGACGATTTCCAATCGAAGCCGCGATCGCTGAAATGATAGCAATTCTGCCCGATCTTCGTGTAATTCGATGGACAGGGCTCTGAAAATTTTATTCAATATCTAATACTATTTTAATTTTTATTTTACAGGTTAAACGAAACGGATAGATATACCGCGCGAGCACACCTTTTTCCTTGATATTTCCGGAAATCACATAATATAGGAGTTCTTCTGCTCTCCTCAGCCGATTCTCCAGAAAATCTACTCTGTAGACGAGTTTCTCTATCGCGCCTGGTGGAATAAATCACGATTAATAAATGTCGGTAGCTAGAAAACATTGTATCGTGGGAAACAATTTTACCGAGTAGATAGAGATCGGTTTCGGTGACTTCTCTCTTGTTCGGTGACGATATTTTACTCGAAACGGTCAACGTTTTATCGCCAAATTTCATCACCTTCGAGGCTCGGGTAGATCTCGAGTCGGAAACGATCCAGTTTTCCAAAATTTCGGACCACGGTCCCGGTATCGCGTCGGTGGAAACATTTGACAAGCCTAAAATCGTTTTAAATACCTCGTCAATTGATTCAAACATCGTTAATAATGTTTTCCTTTGTTATTCTTACATACCACCAGGTATTCCCATGCAGACGTTCAACTGAAAAATTAACAAAAGACACAAACGAATGGATCCTTTGTCCCTCATAGCAGACCTGAAACTGGAGACCAGATTAATTAGAGCAGGTTACGAAAAAACCAAATACCAGTTTTATTTCGTCCGAAGCACACTATCTTTAACTTTCCTTGAGAAAGTTCAAAGGAATGCGCGCGTTACCATATACCATACATATGTAAGTACATACAAAACCAACTCCCATCGTTAATAGAATTTTTTTTATCTTGTTACGATAATTGCAATCATTTTATCATTTAATAATCTTTTTTAGGTCTACAAACACTTTCCCTTTACTATTGTTTTGTAGAATTAGTTGGACAGTTATCGACGCGTTATTTCCATCTGTACTTTATAGTTATGCGTTAAGATCGATTGTTACTTCGCTTACGTAATAGTAATACTCGTGAAACAGGGACTCGTATCGTGGCTATCACCATTCCACTTTTCTTTCTTCGTTTGTGTTTCTCGCCTGGTCGGTCCGTTTTCATTCGCGATCCACGCAAGACTATCGACCGAGAGATCCGATCGAGCAGCCTTCCGTCGGACACTTTCTCTCCTCTTCGAAAAGAATTAGTCACTTTTTTCGTCAAGTGCAATTGCCGTCACTGGCTGTCATTCGAGCACACGCCTATAATTCCAAACGTCCAGCAGGATAAAGTCGAGAAATCATCGGGAAAATAACTATCGACTAATTTCTAGGCGGACAAGTCTCATCGCCAGTAAAGAAGTTATGTCGTTAACAGTTTTGGCACACTGTGGAACATGGAATAGGCGAGTGTAAGACAGCACTTCTTATAAAGATCGCCCTACTGACACGATTCTCTCTGTGAAACCGGAACTTTGTCGTCTCCTTAACATAAATTCGTCGCCATTGGTAGAAATATTTGTTAGATCGTGCGTCGATTAGTTTACAGATTGAAAATTGTTATTAAGGAATTAAAATATAGCAAACTTCTCCATTCTTTGTACGTCTTTAATGAAACAACTAGGTATCGTGTAAAAGAAAAGAAATTTCCACCGTGTCCGATGCAAATCAACTGCTAATATAGTCAACTATACATTTTATATGTACATAGCGTTTAAATTTATTCGGTAACGGTCGAAATCATGTTCGACGAACGATACGGAACGATCTCGCACTTTTTCAGTCTTTCGTTTCGCGGCGTAATTAAAAGTACACGGTGAGATTTAGTCGTTCGGTCCCCGTTTGGCTGTTTCTCGATCTCGTTTCGGCGGCTACTTCGACGCTGTCCACTGTCTGGAAAAAAAATAAAATCTTTCTAAATTAATCACGATGGCCACGAATTTGTTTTTCCATGCAAGTAATTACCCTGTCGTCGTCGTCCCAGGATAGTTTTTTAACCCTCTGGGAAACGGAGCAGGCGGGCCAGGCGGGCACCAACGAGTCTGGAAGATCCGCGGAGTAATTGGAAGATTCGCAAGAAACTGTGTTCAAATTAGACTTTGCGCTCAAGTCGTTCATGTTCTGAACCAGGCCGCCGATGTTGGGGATATTCGACGTCGCGGATAAACCTGGTGGATTCGGGGCTGGGGCTACTTTGTGCCTCGCGTATAAGGGCACTTGTCTGGCCGACGATAAACCTAATTTACACGGACAAAACACGGTATCAGAATACGTTAATTATGGGATGATACTTTTTCAAAATGTCAAAGGCAATTACTTGTAATCGTCGCGCCGTAGGGGTTCCTCGCCCCAAAAACAGGATTCTCGAGATCGTTCACGTCATTATTTGTGTCCCTCGTCGCGCCGTGATCGTTATCGTCGACGATTTCGTGCTCGACGCGTTCGTCTTCGTTTGCAGCGTCGGCCTCTTCGTCGTTTTCGTCGATGCTGTGCGCGATCTCGGAACGATTCCCCCTGCAAGGTACTTGGAGAGCATCTTGGAGCATGCTCGCACCGAGCACCTGGGGAGTCGGGCTCAAAGCAGAGGGAACCGGGGATTTTTCACGGTAGGCAGTTCCCACGGAACTCACGGACCCGCTGGTTTTCGGTCTCTTACTGTAACATGTCCAAATAATATGAAAAATTCTGTTCCAACAGGTGGGGTTTCCGTGAAACTTTCCATCGATACGTTTCACTTACTGTTTATATATGTACAAAATTAACACGAGTATAATGACTCCAAGAAGGCCCAAGACAGCACCAAAGACAGCAACCAGAAGAACGCTACTGCCCAACCAAGCAGGTGCAGCTCTAGCAGCGACTGGTAACGAGCCGCTATTGGGTATGTGCACGATCACTGGGATCATGCTGGATCTTTAATAAAAATTAATTAAAGAAACATTCTATCGAGCAACGATACGGATAATATTAAAAGGTGATGTTATATGTATAGTATACCTAGGAGGGCGTCCCGAATCGGAAGCCACGGCTACCAAACGAGCCAAAGACCCGTTGATAGTCGTCGACGATCTGAGAATCAACTCTCCATTGTCGCGTATCTCGAAGTACCTGTTACAGTTGTACAGTTACTACTGCTATATGTACAGTCGATGGTATTTAATATGTATAATTTGAATTTATCTAGTACCTTGCATCCGGACCTCTGAGCGACAAACTGATCTTGTCGTCTCTGTCTCCATCGGCAGCTTCCAGTTTTCCTGAAAGTTACGAGAAGTCTTCGTTAATGAATTCGACGAAAGAAAACTGTACAGGAGAAAGCGACTCACCAACAATGGATCCCTCTTTCAAGGTTGCAGCGTGAAATTCGTATCTGGGATGTCGAAATCGGGGTTCCCATTCGTTTACATCCTCGACGGAGACATTCACTCGCGACGTGTCGTTCTGAAACGTCGTATTAACTCCGTTTGAATAGTTTACGAGCGAGTTTTGCAAAACATCTAGACGAGAATATTCCTTTAATTTGCTTTTAATTGATCGGTATACGAGTTAACATTTGTATTCCATTGGTACAACGTAGCATCGAGATCGAATCGTAATAGCATCGTGACACCCATATAAATCGAGCTTTAAACAACGATTTCTGTCCAAGTTTATATACTTTCAATTAAACGTACATGGTGGCCGTCGGTGACACAGACTAAGAAACTGTGCTGGATCCTTCTTTCGTAATCCAAAGTGCCCTTCAAGATCAGTTCGCCGGAATTGGTGATAGAGAACCTCTCTAGATCTTCGATCGCCCCAACCAGCCAGAATTTTAAATTCTAAAAGTAAAAACTATCGATTATATCCACGAATTTGCTTTAACAACGTTTCTATTTTCAGATTTCGACTCACGGAATCCACTTTGTTTACGCCTGTCGTCAACACGACGCTTTCTGGCGGGGTGTTTTCCGGGATGCTCGTTTGATGATCACGCCGTATGAATTTCACAGGTAATCTTCCACCTAATTCACGATCAGAGTTACATTAGGGAGGACCGGGATCGATCGATCGATCGAACGAAGCGATTGCTCACCTGCGGTGGGTTCCACGATCCAGTCGCTCTCCCGGGAAACTACTATCGTTGAAAGTGCATACTTGTCTGGATTGTCTACCTGCGTAGCCTGTAGACATCGATAATAGCATTAAGTATTTATAATAGCATTTAAAAAAATTATAAAAATATTGTAATATATTTCTTGCCTTTAAAACGATCGTCGCCTGCGATAAGAGCTCGTGTTCGTACAGTGGACGCGTCACAACGATCTCTGCGGTCTCAGGGTTGAGCGTGAGGAACGGCAGTATTCCACCCTGAATTGTGTATTTAACTGGAGCACCGATTCCCACGTCTTGATCCACGGCCTTTATCGGAGCTGGATCCACTTTCAACATCCTTCTCTGATAGCAAATACATCGTACATTACATCACCGGATCGATCTTAGGATGAGATTTTTAATCGTACCGTTTTTATTTGTCGTGGAATCACGATTTTATATTGATCGCTTTGGAAGGCAGGATTTTGATCATCGGCATCGATCACGTTCACGTGGAGGGTGGTGGTCGATGACTTTGGTGGATTACCCTGATCCTGAAAATAATTAATATTTTTAAAATTTCTTTAATTTATCGATCCGAACGATGACTTTACCTGCGCTCGAATATTGACGGAGAAGTTTGTGAGAATTTCGTAATCCAATGGTTTCCTCAGAACCAGAGTGCCCTCCAAAGCGTTCACGAACACGAAATAATCCTGCGAATAGCATTTTAAAAAGTTATCAAAACGTATCCACTATATTTCAGAACATATATTCCAAGAATGATAAAATATTTCAGAGAGATAAGGGGATGGAAGAACTACCGAATGCGGTCCAGGCAGGACGGCATATTGTACTGTAGAAAAAGGCCCCGGCTGATCAGCATCTACGGCCCGTACTCCTTGGAGCACTCTGGTACCAACTACCGTGACCTGGCCAAGAAAAGAAAAGCGATCATCGTCGTTGAAAAACACTTGACTTTGAAAGAAAATTCTTTCTTACCTCCGAGATGTTGAGTACGTAAGGCGCGTTCACGAACTGCGGGGCATTGTCGTTCGCGTCGGTCACGCGAATATTAACCGGTATCACGAATCCCTTGCAAATAGACACACGGAATTTAGATATTTTCCTCGTTCAAGAAACGAAAGAAGATCGAACGATTGGAACGGTGCACCGAACTTACGGGATCCAAGGTGTGTTTTCTCTCGCAAATAACGTTTACGTAGACGCTAGCTGGCCCATCGACACCCTCCTTATCCAAAGGTCTGATCAGAGTTAGGTTCTTCGAGTAGGCCGCAAAGGACACGGGACTGTCGATTTCCTGGAGTCTGAGCTCAATGTCCCCCTGCGGTCCAGGATCCCCTAGAACTCCCAGGACACCCACGGTGTCACCGACCGGCAGATCTTCGCTGACGAAGAGATGCGCAGCGGTGGCACCATTCTCCAGGAAACATCGCGCGTCACGGATCACTATAATGGTACGATTGCTCGTTACGTTATCTCGCTCGATCGCAAACAGTCGAGCAGACGAACCAATCGATTGAATTCGTTACTCTTCCATATACGGATAGCGATAGTTTCAATTAACGCCTCGTATATGTAGAGAGAAAGCGTCCAGTCGAAAGGAAGGAAAAGAAACGTATAGAAGGCCGGAAGCGATAAAAGGAACGGCGCGGTTTTTGTTTCTTAGACTTCCTCGAGTAAAAAAAAAACGATCGTATTCCATTGATCGAGGTACCGTGTTCGTGTGAAACGTGTGGTTTTGGGGTTTCCGGAGATCGGGAGAACAACCGGTTCGTCAGGCGTCCTCCTGACGAAAGACTCGTTGAAAAGGTCAGAACGTACTCTGGACGAGCCGGAGTAATTTTTTAAACTTGCTCACGAGTCGCGGTTAAATCTCGTTCCTGTTCATAACCCTGTGACCTCCACCTTTGACACGGTAGGAACCTACCTACATTTTAATGGCCGACGAAGCACGAGCGGTCGTGTACGTTCGGGATGCCCCCGTGCAGATAACGAAATCCAGATTCACAGAAACGGCACGTACAGAATATCTCTGTGTCCGGCGAAACGTGCACACGTAGACGTTATTTAACAGGAACGCGTGCACAAGGGTTAGACGCGGCGCGCTCCCTTGGAGCGGAATTCCGCCCGCCGTAAACTCGCGGCGTACATCGACGATGCAACAACGTTCCGCCGTTGCCTTTCGTAATCTTTTTCCACCGCAGTCCAAGACTTTTCCAGAAGAAAACGATAGTATTAATTCCAATTAAAAGAAATTTATGCGGACCGTACGGTTCGCGTTTCGCATCCACCATTGCTAGCGGTCTTTTCCGCATCGCGGATCCACTGCTATTCCAAGGGTTTAATTTTACAATATATTACTGGTATTCGAACATAATCAATGGAAATCCGAGCATTTTATGCGGAGTATAATATAACAGGAACGATAAAGAATATTATAAAATGAATACGATTTGTTCTTTGTTCCTGGCTAATGCAACGAATGTAAATAAAAAAAAAATGCAATGCTAACTGATAACAAGAACATACTGCGGACCGAGGTTAAAGAAAATATTTCCTTCTTATGCATTTTATAACGAGCTTCGGTGGAAGTTTACGTTCGTTTATCTGTTATGTAACTTGATATATATTTATTGGTTATAGCGACGCGACGAGGAGACAATGAAAAGTTATACGAATTCCCACGGTTCTATCTGGCGGAGAAGTAAACGCCCGCTCAAGCGATATCTCGACGATTGTCGCGCTTCCGGTGTAACGAGATAATGGCTAATTGCCATGTAAATAAAACATACTGGATTACGCGAGGAAGCAAATCAACGGTTCGTGATTAAACGAAATAATATTATTATTATGAAAAAGAAAGAAAACAAGTGGCAGATTCGAAAGCGTTATTATTCGAGTTATTGCATCTGTTTTAATACGGGGCCCAATTGTCGTGTGCACGAAACGTTTTCTACACGTGTCCTTTGGCCGTTAAGAAAGGAAAGAAGCCGCGACGCGTATCGCGGATTTTTCGCAATGTCGGCGACTTTCTATGTCATTCGATCGTTGTCCGCGACTGCAAGTGTCGCGAGGATCATCGAAGGGAAACGGAAAGGCCAGGAAACATCGTCGACTTTCGTGCACCGTGCCCGATTCGGACTCTTCTCTCGATCGTAACCACCGATTCTTGTGCGTAACCGTTCGCACGCGATCAACCGTGCGACGAAGCAGGAAGAAGGAGCGATTAAGGCCGCGACTATAGTGAATAGGGGGGTCCCGAAGGAAGAGGGGGGCTCTGGTGGGCGCAGGGTAAACCAGGGAACAGAAGGGACGAAACGGCGAAAGAAGGGGCAGGAGGACGGGCAGGTGGCGTGAGAAAGCTCGAAAGACCCACATTGGCCACTGTGTAAATGCACCGTGCAGCACAGGATTGCCAGGATCCTCAGAATGTTGTTTATCATGGCGATCCAAGGACATCCTTCACCGGTCCGAGCACCACCGACCGATGCATCTGCAAATTGATCGAAAACCCACGATTACGATTTCAAGGGAAGTCGAATAAGGAATAAAGAATTCTGTTTCTTAACGCGGGAAGCAATAAGTCTTCTGTTAGTCGTATTTCACTCAACACTCGATAGCTTCTCGGTCGCGCAATTGACTTTATCAAGGGCTTACTAGTTACGGTTCCTTTTTACGAAGCCCGTAAAAATGAGAATCGTCGACTATTAACGGGGTAAACGCGCCAAACGAGGGTCACTATACGCGATGGCGTGATAACGGGTGGGCCTCGGGCAACAAAAGCAAGAGCAAATGTTTGTCGGGTAGACGTTCGATCATCGAGCGACGGGTCGAAAAACGAGCGGCTGTGTCTGCAACAAGCAAACATAACGCGTGGTTAGAAAGCATGCGAAGAAACTACTTTATTACGTGAAACCTAGATACGTGGAACGACATCAGAATCGAGGGTGGGGGTGGCGAGAGCGATAGTTAGTCGATCCTACGTGTCCGAAACCAAAGAAGGCCTACACGAAACGAAACACAAACGTGTAAAATTGGCTGCCCGATTGAGAAACAATTACCGTTGAAGCAACGACCAGCAACATTTTGTTCGTCTTCCTCCTTCTTTCTTCGTTGTCATCGATAGATAATATTTGTCAATATTTTTCTAAACCAAATTTCAATACGATTTCAGACTTTGAGCTGATATCTGGCCCAAGGCGATGGCCGGGAAGAGACAGACCGTTGAAAGAGTTAATAGTCGTTGCTCAAAAGTCGCGACTCCGGCGCAAGAGTTGGGTGTAATCACCGTATCCTTGTTAAAGTTGCCAATTGCATTTTCTATCGGCCGGAACAAAGCGGTAAAAGCAGTTTGCCGCGCGAGAGTGAGCGGAAATAATCCGCGGAAAAAGGATTCTTAGCAGGGCCAAACGATTTATACGGGATACGCGGAGCCGGATACGGTGGTTATGTGGGGCACGATACTCCTCAAATTCACGTACCGTAAACTGAAACGCACTGCCATGGGCAACCGGCGTAAAGACTCTCCCCTCTGAGCACGATTCGCGATGCCACCGATTCAATGGTGGTTCAAGAAGCGGTTCTGATGAATCACTTCTTTCGCGCACTTTCACGATTACAACTACGTACGTATCTTTCCTCCGTTTCTTTTTTTTTTTCACAATTATTTGCATCTACATACGTGTCAAGATGCCAAACTTTTCCAGGCGTAAAAATGTCTGTTTGGTGTTTTATCAGGATTTAAAACAGTATAGCGTAATTTTATCTTAGGAAGGAAGGTTCAGAAGGGACGAAGGAGGATGGAAGGTGTTTGGAATATGAAAGATATTCAAGATTGGGAAAGGAGATAGAAGGGAAGAGTGATTAGAAAGGCTTGGAGATACAGGAACAAGGAAGATGGAGAAGATTGGAAATGTTAAATACTTACCGGAAGAAGCGTTCGATGATTAAATAGCACCGTCCAGCACTTGGAGGTTCCAGCAATCGTTTCTTCAAGTTCTTGCAAAGTATTCAAACAAAGTATTCCTTTTAAATCATCACCGTTCGCTCAACTCGACGACGAAACAACGCACTTTCGTCGACATTGCTCAGCAACGATCAAACTTGTCCGACGGACATTTCCCGCCTTTCCATCCGACGAACCCCTTCTTCACCGCGAACGCTTCCATCGCACAGGGAACATTTCCCGACACGAGACACCATCGAGAAACACCCCGATCGAACTGCAACTATATATTTACGCTTTCCCCGTGGCACGCGTGTCCTTATAACCGATCGTGTCCTCCGACTTTTCTCGTTTTTCCCCGCGCCTCGCAACCCTAACGACCCACGGACAACCTATGGAACGCACCTGTCCGCTTTCGGCCAGCAGAACTCGCCGGCTATAAAACGCGGACGAGCAAAGTGCGCGGTAGAGCGGCACTCGGGAAGTCGGTTCTCCATTGTTAGAAAGGGGGGAATCGACGAGCAACCAACCAACCGCCTTCCTGGCCCTGCTTCGAACAGGTGTTTACTTTCGTCAGGAGTAAATTGTGCGAGTATACGTGTCCACATGCAAGCAACTCTGTCGCCCTTAGCGATGGGGATTTCGAGCATTGCGAATCTCCATCGCTGGTTGCTCTCGCGAAAGTCGAAACCCCGTAACTGGGTATACCGATAGGTTCTCTTTATAGCGCGGACCATTGTTCTTAAACTTTTGTACCGTCCATTAATCGTAAGACACATTTGGATGCGCTTTGTTTCGTCAAAGCGTGTGAAAATTCCTCGCCGCGTTCGCTACCCAAATCGAGGAACAATCTGGGTGAGAGTTTAAGTTATGATTAAGCGAATTCTTGCCCCCGATTGGGATACTGCATTGTTGTTTCCCGACTCGGGTGCTTCGTGGAATTTGGTATCCTTCCGATGGAAGTTGTTGGCCTTTTTAAGCTCCTTTTTAAGACTGGTGACTAAAGTTGTTAAAATTATTATCGGTGGACGAAGGGAGGATGTATTATACATACGTATATGCATCTATTTAGAGCGCGATCGGTCGAACCGGGTTACACTTCACGCGATCGCATGTCAAGAGGTGTTTGTCGAATAGATCGAACGCTATCGATTTGTTTTTATGGAATTTCTATATTTTTACAAGGTAGCTTTCCAAGGAGACGTCGTTCCAGATAATCGTCTCTCGGAAGTTTTTAAACCAGCTCTGAACAAAGTGAAGTTATTTAAATAGAGCGATAGGAGCAATAAAGTTATTTCCATGTTTAAATAAACGTTTACAAAGGTGCTATAACGATCGAACGGTAAAACTTCGAGTTACAATTTGTCTGATGTTTATAGAGACGCGTAGTAGTTCGGCATTCACATCAAGGGTGTTCCGTTCCATTGTACGTAAGCGTCTTGCCATCTGCAAGTAAATCGAAACAAAACAGCGGATCTAAAAATGTTAGATCCAATACGTTGTAACGTAGTAAGAGCGATCCGAATAGGAGTACGATTAATTGCGAATCAACGTGTACCGTTATTAAAGTGGAAAAATGGGTATAATGATATTTACTTGGAACGAATAAGCTTTTCTAACGGAGTCGCAGCAATGTCCATGCACTCTTTGCTCGCACCCTCGAACTCTGAATCATTTCCTGAATTCGACCTCGTGTCCACGGTCAAAGTAGCATGACTGCCGCCGCAAGTAAAGTACTGAACGTCGAAGCTTGTAAAAGACAAAGATATACACGGATAAAGAAAAATTAAGTAGCAGATAAATTTATAAATTCAATTAAGATTTAGCGTAGCATTTTTTGAACGTACAGGCGTTCAGCGTGATAATTTCGAAGCAATTCCCGGTTCGTGTTGAAGAGGACGCCATGGTGACCATGGCACAAGGTCACCCAGATTGGCAAACTTGGGGTTTTCAGCCGAGAACCCGGTTGCTTGCTCACTTGTCCGTCGCCCTCGTGCACCAGGAACCCAATCTCGCTTCTCACGAGGACGCCCCATTGCGGCACAGCCTTGAATTTTACGGAAGAACTAAGGACCAGAGCATGGTCGAGGTAAAGAGAAATAATGAGAAAGCAAAGAAAGTCGCTAACGTATGTGTTTTCATCCCCCACGTGGAGCACCCCGTTGTGAAGATGAGGGGAGGCGCGACCAGTCAACGAGAGCATCACGACGCTGAGTGGGCCTTCTTCGGGACAGCCGCTTAAAATCGACGCTCTGGGGTCTTCGAGATCGGTTCGTACTCTGTGGTCGATAATTGTAACGTTCAATCTATGGAATAAAAATTCTTAATTCTCATTTAAAGCACTCACTTGGAAAGATCTCTGGAAAGTAAAGCGCTGTACAACAGCAACTGAGCACCGGGACCACCCTCGTCTTGGAACTAAAAGCCAATCATCGTATCGCAAGCTTACGCGCGAGAAAAATATTTGGAAAGAAAGTACGACTTACCAAATATAAGTATCTTTTGATGAATATTTGGAGATCGTCCAGAGAGTCGAACTCGAACAAGTGCAGCTGAAAGAAGGAATTTAAATTGGTAAAAGACGTCCCCAATGTTTCATGGATAGGAGCATGTAGTTTAATGAAATTTTATATTTTATTTCATGTACACAGGGATGGAAGATGTACGTATAGACGTCGAACTAAAGCGTGTAACGAACGATGTCTTGGAACGGAACTAGTTTGGAAGCCAAGAGATACCTGTAACTCGATCGGACGATCGTGTAATCATTTGGGGCAGTGTGTTAATAGCATGTTGGATCAGAGGTATTCGAACAGTTGATCCTTTAATTATGTCGAGCAGTGTATTTACGTACGGTCTCGGTCAGTCCATCCTGGAAATATTGCACGCTATGCTGCAAATAGGGTGTTTCCTGAGGCAAGGCAACCACGGCCCTCGGCACGTTCGCGTTTCCGGCGACACTTTGACTTGGCGAGCAACCAGTATTCTGCACTACGAATCCGCCGGCGCATCGCCAAACGATCTCGGCTATCGCCGCTGTCAGGACATCGATTTGCCTGTCGTACGAAGGTTTCAGCAGGCTACCGTTCAATAGAAACAATTGTCAAAACTTTCGGCCCGTTTCTCGATATCGTCGAATACAGTTCTACGAACAATTTGGCTCCGATAGTAAAAAAGTTGTTCGCGTACTGTAATTCACAGTGTCTACAGCGTTATAGTTGTTTGTTTGGTTTCAAGCCTTTCGGACTCGGGCAAATGGAAATTTCATTTACCTTTCTGGATTCACGCGGACGTCTTGTCTGTTGCATTTGAACAGAAAGTGCTTCAGCATGATCGCCTGAACGGCCGTGACGAGACCTCTCGTCGTGTTCCGTGGCGATCGTAACCCGAACGCCAAGTTTTGACCGTACGGTCGCAAGGTTAATCCGGTCCTTGCCCATTCTGGTTTCGGTGGAGTGGCGGGACTCCCGAACACCAAGGTTCGTAGGGCCTGTTGCGAGCAAACATATTAGGAGCTTGCATTGATTTGCATAAACGGATCAGTGCAGTAGGGACTCTAAAGTCAACCGTATCACGGCAATTCTAAGCAACAAAGTCCCAATTAGAATAAATTACCATGCACGTTTCCTCCTCGATCGGTTTCCCGCCAATTACTGCCGTCTTTACCAGCGTCCTTGTATTCCGCGGGTATATAATTTTCTCTGAAAGCAAAGAGCACGTGGAAGGTTAACGTTCACGTCGCTGTACGGACGCAGGTTTCTTCTCCACCTGGATAGAGTTCGTCCGGTTCTCCCATAAGGGCCGCGCACCTGGCCGCTCTGGCGGACAACAACATCTTTCAGTCTCCTCGAGATCGAAAGACACCGAGTTTTACATGTGTGACGAAACGTCGAGGAACGGTACGAGAAACACTGGAGGCGAAAAAATTGAATTTCGGGTACGAGACCGGAAGCAAGACATCTACCGTAACGAGTAACGAAAATATTCGGACGCTAGGATATGCTTTATTTTTCTTACGACTTAATTATTTATACGGAAAACGTGTACATCGATGGATCCTGAACCTACTATTAGAATCTGTTGTATTTGCGTAACCATGTTGTGTAATCGGTGAATTGTATATTAAGTAATTTATAAGTAAAAACCAACGAACACGTTAGGGGTAGAAATATCGGAGTCGTAGAAGAATAAAGCGAAACGTACCCCGGCGTTTGAATATTTTCGTTCCACTGACTGTGTAGGTGGCTCGGGGAACAGGATCTCGCGACTTCTGACGATTGTCACCCGGTGATGCACACTGGCACACCAAGCTCGCCAAGCAATCGAATATCAATTGGGGATTCGTGCTGGATTCCAAGACCCTTTATATACGGCTTATCCGCGCCTCGTATCTCGAGAAGTCCGTGAAAGTTGAAGCGCACGAAACGCGTCAATTCGTATGTCCGAAGACACTTCGGGAAGATAGACGATAGACATGCCCCAATAACGTCTGTCTGTCTGTCTGTCTCCGGCGTACCATGTCCCGGACCACGCGATTAATCAAATCGTGTGTCCCGGGCCATTTGCCATCGAACGGACGTACCGGAAGTGCAGCGTTTCTTCGGCGCGTAGGCGGCGAACCACTTGGATCTTAATTGCCGTTGACGCGTCGGTTGGCACGATTCGTGTCTCGCGAACACACCACCCTTCCTCCCCCCGTTTCTCGACGATCATCGACGCTCTTGGTCTTGTCGCCTTTTCGAATTGTTCATTCCAGTACGTCTTTAATTTCCTTTCGATTCGTCAACAATTTCATTTCAGCTAATTTACATGAAACATTTTTACCCAGAGATAACTCGCGTTTGTCTTTGCGCTCGCTGGTCGTCGTTAATGCTAAACGGTAAATTACGTTTCCACGGTAATTTTTCTGTCGTGAAATTGCGATAATGTAATGAATCTCGGTAATTGGACACCGGATTCCTGAACAGAGTATTAAATCAGGATATACATTAAATCCGGGAAGATCTTCACGCGGGTGGAACACGTTCGCCACAGAACGAACAGCAATAATGGTAGGCTCGATGCGGTTTTTTACGATTACTCGAATCGGTGAACGCGGAATGCGCGTACTTCCGCAATTTCGAATCTGGAGCAGTGGAAAATTGAAAATGCCGTTTCGCCCGAAATAATTTAATGCACCGTGAAGTAATCGTACGCCCTCTCGAACGCGTTCGTGTTTTCGTTTACCGTTTCTCTGCGTGCATGTGTGTTATGGTTGCGTACTGTTTTACAGTCGCGAAACACCGTGCTGCGCAACACTACTTTGCGTGACAGCACGAACTTTGGCAAAAAAAAAAACCTTGGATTTTCGTTCACGAGGTGTTTTCTCCCGAAGCAATAGTTTCCGTACCTGTCCGCGATCTCCGTCATTTTCTGTATTTATTAATAGATGAGAAAGAAGAACGAGAAAGGTATTCTTGCACCATAAATATACTCTACATATAGTTGCTCCGCTCTAATCTTTGGTTCGTCTTTTAGGCAATTTTCTCCAAAATTATTTAAAAAAACGGTAAGAAGATATAGAAGAAAGAAGACGATAAAAGAACTTTGTTATACGAGAAGGTGTGAAGGTATTAATTTTTCATTTCTACGTAATGCCAAAATTGATCATTTTTTAACCATCTTCCTTTGTTACGAAGGTTGTGATCGGAACTCTAAACATCCGGACAGACGACTTCGTAAAAAAAGGAGAATACCAATGCAGTTGCAATGGAGTTGCATCGTAGAAAAAGGAGACGAGACGCATGTTAACGGTGAATAACACGTGTCCCTTGCACATTCGCGAGCATAACGGGGGTGTGTGCTCTCTCCAGCACGCGTCTCGATCGCCTCGGAGCCTCCGGTCGAATCGCGTGCTCGCGTGCAATCGAGTCTATCGAATTACGAATTCGCGTCGGAACAGGCATCTGCATTCACCGATTACACCCACCGATATAACGCGGCTTAATTTACCCCTCGCGAGTACGGCTCCTCTCCGCGATTCATCGATCTGATTCACCTGCTCGGTGCCTCCGTCGTTCCTAAAACGAGAGCCTAAAAAATCTATTTGCCACGGCCTTTTCGATTCCGCGGAAAGGAATTTCCCTTTTTACACCGCGATAGACGGTCAATGTAGTACTATTAACCCTTTGCACTCCGAATTGTATTTGAATTTTGCTACCAGCAGCTTCCAACACTTCCAAGTGTTTTGTTTGAAATGTACGTCGACTAAAAAGTAGGATAAATTTAAAGAAATTCAATGGAATATCTGTTTTACTTACACTGTTGCTGTATTTTGTAATTTTCAAGCGTCGAGTGGGATTCGATAATGGAGCTGCTGAGATTAAAACTGACGTCGTGTCATATTCGACGTAGGAGTGCAAAGGGTTAAGAACGTAACGACTTGGCAGTACGTTTCCCTCGAAATCTCGACAATTATCAAGAGCAAAAGATAGTGTACTTTTTAACAAGAAATTTTGGGGCTATCGCGTACCTTTCTGTCGAAGATACACCGGTTTCTCCGCGCGCATTTCCGTGCAGTGTCTCTTGCCGCACGCCGAGGATGCTGACGCCGCTTTGGAGCACGAATTGGCGGTATCCTCGGTCTCTTCCGGTTCCTCCATGTCCACTGGATCCTTAACAAAAGAACGATCAATATCGATCAGTCTGTCGTGTCGCTTCAACACGATACGAACAACGAACTGGTCCGAGATGAAGAGGTCCTCGAGTTCTCAGCGTCTTACAACCGACGATAGTTCTCGACCAAGTACATCGACAAAGCTGAGAGTAGTTCTTCTTTCCAATCCTTTACAAGTCTATCGACTGATAATTCCAAAGACGACGACTACATAAATGAAAGTTTTGTCTTTCAGCTTCCTTCTGGATCGACGTTTAGATCCCCCGGGACTATCGTTCCCTTCGGGCGTATCAACGAGTACGTGGAAGAGCTAGTCAAGTGCTCGTTGTTGGTGCATCGAGCTACCTGAACTGACAGGAGTTAATAATTCCGGCAGCTTAAGGCCGTGTCGGTTCATCGCGCCGCGCACGAGCTACTATCCCACCAGGCTGTGGATACGTATATGTATACTTATATGGATGTAACACCGAGCCGTGAACTCGAGGATAGCCCCGACCAGGAGCTTTAGGAAAGCCCGCGATCGGCAGACGTCGGTGAAAAAAGTTTCGCGCGTCAGACTGACGTGCAAAGTTTCGGTTTTCGCCCCCGAAGCCGAAGCCGACGACGCTTGGAAATTTCAGACCTTCGCGGGAACCTTAGACACACCGATTAAAAAGATCGCGTTTAGGGGCAGCTCGCGAAACAGCTTTTAAAGTAGCCGTTTCGTTAGCAGAATTTCGCTTAATAAAATCAAGAAAAAATAGATAGATAATAAAATTTACGCACGGTAGTTACGAATTTAAACTCTTTCGAAGCGAATAAAGGGCAGAGGGCTCTTGTTGCGCCTATTTCTTGGAATTAATCTTGTAGCATTTTTGCCGTATTCTCACGTTTGAAACCGATAAACGAGTACTTAGGGCATTTGTTGAATAGCGCCGAAAGTCTAGTTACTTCGCAACGTTGTTACATGCTTACTGAAGTTCTCGATGCGGTCGAGTAACGCTTTTATGCCTGCATACACAGCCGCGTGCTTATATGCATAAGTTCACACGTGCAGCGGCGCGATGGCTCGTCTCGCACGTGTGGTATCTCGCGACTTTATCGCGGCTACCGATCTCGACACGCGTTTCGTGGTATTTTCGCTGAAAATGGAGAATCGGAAACAAGGCATACATCTGTTGCGAGCAAAGGGGGTGAAGGTTCTCTCGATAAAAATATCAGTAATTTTCTTTGAACGCCTTCGCCCGTGCAAGGTGAGCGCGTTAAACTGGAAGCCACATTCTTCCAACTCCGATCATATCGTTTCTTTTATCAGGCTAGTACGAAATGAACTTAAAGCTATTTATTTGTTACAACGCAAAGTAACATTAAATAATGTCCATCGAATTGTTAGACTTGTAATCGTTGATTAGGATTGTATGGAATCTTGTATCATCGTGTAACAGAGTCGTAAGAATTGTCCTGTCGTTGTGTCTGGCCATTAAGTTGTTTAAGAAGCTTCGATCTAGGGCATTGGATATATTTTATATAAGTTTAGAAATTGTGGCGTCGTGCTCTCACAAGCCTTACTGATGAGTCTCACTAGCGCCCCCTCCTTTCCTTTTTCTGTCCTCCTACGATTCTCCAGAGTTCTTTTAACCCTCAGCCAGCAGCGCCACAAAATAGAGGAAATGCTCCGCGCCAATCTGCGTATCAAATAATTTTACCTACATCTATACGGGCCAGTCGTTAAACTTCCAACGGGAAGCGTATCTTATCGCTCTCGTCCATAATTACCAATTTCCTGACTATCATGCCGCCACCATCAAGATTACGTCGGTTGGTTAAGTTCAAGTTCGCGTTCGCGATCGCGTTCGTTCGAAATAGATGCTCCATATTTGGCCTTCGAAAGTACGATCCAAAGTTCCGAGTGCGAGCGTACGTGCAGCCTAGCAATAATACCCCCAAGTACGCGCAGGAAGTACGCAGACTTACGTATGTGCAATATATTTAATTATTTAGACGCTACTTTCACGTTTCTGTACAGACCATATACATACATATACAGTATCTAAAAAAGATCCAAAGATACGGATACAGATTTAATTGTAAAGTATACGTATACGATCGAGAATGATCGTGTGAAAACGTAAAGACTTTACAGTATTTTTAGCTTGGAAATTGTTCAATACCAGCTTACTACTGACCTTACAAAGTATCCTGTATTTAGGTGCGTGCATTGTTTGAAATGTTTGTACGAGTATGTATGTATGTGTGTATGTATGTACGCGTCGTAGATGATGTCTGGTATATTGCCAGAGAGCAATATGAAATTGAACTTAGAACCGGGTGGCGTAGTACCAGGAGCGAAGTTACAGGAAATTACGTGCAACTACGAGTATTTGGTTACTTAATGATCGATCAGATTTACACGTTTCTGCGATGATGTTAGAAACTGACGGGCTTAACGAATCGATTCGTATCTGTAAGCGGAACGTTACATTAAGGTTTAGAAAGTATGTAGTTTCTATCATTCCGTCAGATACTTTACCTTTACGTTTCGATGTACCGTTTCCTTTATACGTCGAGCAACCTTAATTAATTAATAGAATGAAATTAAAAAATTTTAAATCGGTCCGAAAAAATTCATTTAGTCGCGGGGAGCGATTACAATCATTTTTGGTGAATAGACATACCCTCGAAATTCTACGCATTTTCGAGAAAAAAATTCTTTACCAAAAAATAATGAGATTAGAAATGTTTCTCCGGAATTTCATGCACATGTTTAAAAAATCATAACTTCCGAATGGATTGAAGCTAATCTAACTCGCCTGTATTTAATATCATACCGAAGTAATTACATATGTAATATATGTATTACAAGTAATTACATACTCTACCTAATTCACTGTATATCTATATATATCAAGACGACATCTACAATAAAACGCCCAAGTTTGTCGAGAAATAATTCACCTTTTTGCACACTAGATGGCGTCTCAATTATTTACGATCGAAAACTAATTTCAATTTATTTGTTAATGCAACAATAGAGTACTCGGTAATTTAGATCACTTATAAATGCTTCACAATTAACGTCACAGGTCCAAATTTGTCTAGAAACAGTCCTATTCTTGTCCATTCTGCCTTTAACCTGTGTCGGGTTAACAATGTCTTCTGACAGGAATAGGACTGTTTCTAGACAAGTTTGGGCCTTTGGCGTTAATTGTGAAGCATTTATAAATGATCTAAATTACCGAGTACTCTATTGTTGCATTAATAAATAAATTAAAATTAGTTTTCGATCGTAAATAATTGAGACGCCATCTAGTGTGCAAAAGTCAACTTTGACTCGTCCATGTTTACATACATATGCTTTTTTGTCGATAAAACAATATTCAGTGCTGGAAGATCTTGTATATTAAATGTATATATATAAATTAGTTGTTTAACAAGTATTATAAGTATGAACTCTGCTAAAGATGACGAAGATTTCTGGTACAGCAGCGAGAAACGATCCTTCTGTTTTGAAAACAATGAGGTTAAGTTAAAAAATTTATATCAAGACTACTTGATGTGTCATTTCTATCAAGAAGTTCGTTAATGTATAATGATGCAGGTGGACCAGTTGTTCGGAGTGTCAAAGACTGACACGGATAAGTTATGGGCTGGTATTTCTAATACCTCAACACCCGAGGGATCTTTAAAAAGTACCGATGATTATCAACCATTGAAACCTATGCTGTCTGTTATATCAGAAAAAACACTTTCTAGCAGTATGTCAGTAAATTCATATACAAACAAATGCATGCCTTGCTCAGAGTAGTTTCTATGTTTATTGCTTAATCATAGGACCCAATACCAATCAAATTATGTAAATTACATGAAATACTTTGTGTTGTACAGTTTTGGCGACGGATAAATTACAGAATCTTCAATCTGAAGCAGCAAGTATACAACCAGATATAACTCTCTCGAAAATTTTACTAGGACAACCATATTCTTTGGAACAATATAAATCCTTGGTCTCTAAAACAACCTTATTGGATGCTGCTATAATAAGCGGAGATGGAAATGCAATTTTAATAGTAACTTTTCATTTTTACAAACTTGTAAAGTGTCCCAAGTTAAATTTAGTTTTATGCATTGAAAAAATAATATTTCAGATTATCTTATTTCTTATAAAAACTCTCAAAAGATCCTTGGTCCAAAGAATATTAGCGGAAAGACCAGATGCTGTAAATGTGTATGTACGATACCTTTCCACAAGATTACAAATGAATGAAATTACCAATATTTTAACGTACGTATTTCCGACACACATTATTTCATAAAGCACAGTCTCTTATTTTTTTCATTGACTAACAATTTGCACAGAATGCTAGGGCAACCATTGGATGCTGCTGTAAGTTTTCCTGCAATATAAATTATTAATCCGCTCGACAAATGTAGTAAATCGCGTTTCATTTTAGATGAAAACTTTACATATTATTATAAAAAATACTCGAGATCCTGATAAACTATTGTACAAACTTCGAAATATTTATAAAACACAATTTTCATCCCTAACCGACTGCAAAGAAGCTTCGTTTGTTCAGTCGTACATAAAGCTACTCGGTAAATTATTTTCCTTTTAAATATTCAAATAATTTATCTGGATATTTAATTAAACTCTGCTAACGATATTAGAGTGGCAAATGGCGGTGAAGAAAATAGATGGCAACGACGAAATAGAATTAGATTCTTCTGTTCTCGAGTGCCTGAGACACGCGTGTAAAGGTCATTGGAATTTACAAGAGGGTAGTTTAATGTCTCCTACGATATTATCTCATCAACACGATATATCTCCTAGACAATATCAGAAAATCGCGTTAGAAGTTCGAGCATCGGCTGGTGAATGGGACGATGTTGATCGATTGTTGCTAACAAAGGTAACGAGCAATATTTCATGGACGTTTCGTTCGAAAAAAATAAATAAAAAATATTCACTAGGGCTGGCTAGGAAGTAAAAAGTTGCAAATTCATTTGCCTATAGAAGATGTATTGAAAATATTGCACAAAAATAATGCGTCTTTCAATATTCTGGAGAAATATATAAAATATATCGATAATTTAGAAAGACGATTAGAATTGGCAAAGACCATGCATTGCTTTAGAATAGCAATCGACGTGAGTGTGCAATCATTCAATTAAACATCTATAATCAATGGGATGCATTACTCTTGCGTGTTTTTTCTCATAGATTCTCGTACAGCAAGGAGATCGTGCCGCGTTAATGGAATATAAAACCAAATTGCAACAACAATCGGAGGAATATTTCTACGCGGAGAGTGCATTGCGTTTGCCATCGGTTAAATGGAAAAATTAGTATTAATTTTATCAATTGTATTAAATTTAAGTATTTATTACGTGAAATAATAACAATACATTTTCATCGGGGGTATCCATTGATTTTACAGCCTAATACTAATTCTAATACCTTCGCTACAAATCAAACAAAAAGGGGATAAAAGATCAGAATTTAAAATTTATATAAAAAAAAAATGAAATTTCATAGATATATTAGACGCGTGCCGTTTGTGTCTTTCTTTACTTTAAAACGTAACGAATTAGTTTTAGAAGCCAAAAACTAATATACATAACCGAAGAAAATTATTTTATAAAGTATTAAATCCCAAAAATTGCTTCTCAAAATTTGCCTGGCGGCGAAAGTATAAAGGTACCAATAACGATAGTGAATTTCACGACAGTTGTTGCCGGTTCAACGATTTTGTCCAAGAAGGTAGTTATGATTGGATAGGATCTAACGGACAGCGGCGAAAGAGACACGCCTTGTGAGACAGGATTAAAGATTCGATCTCCTCCATTAACGGATATCGCGAATTCTTCAATTTTAAACGTATCTCAGAGCAACGAACTCAGATACCGGCGGCTGAAATCTGCAGAGTGCGGTTGTGTTCGTTTGTTAATTTCATTGACAAACGCGTGAAAGTTTTGTTGCTGCTCCGGTCAGTTGGATGAAATAAGCTCTAGCCAGTAGACGGTAAAAATAAATGAGTCGGGGGATAAGTACGAGAGGAAAATTTGTATAGAGATCGTTGAATTTCACGGGAAAATTTAGTGCGGTGCATGTATATCGTCCAATCGTTGCTGGAGGAACCGTTAGAAGTTTACGTTGTATGCGCATTTGAACGATCTAGTACACATTTGTCATCTGCGTGCGGGAACCACTCCCGATTGGTGTTACGGTGTTTCCGCGTTATTCGGTAAGTTATTATAAGTGTATTTTACGATTTAGAGAAACATTAGAGGATTCTTAACGCGTTCGTAAGATTCAAATAAACGGCTAGTGTTACATTTTGAGAAAATATGCATGCTTCGAATTCGTGGCACGTCCTAGAAAGATCCCCGAATATGTCGACGGAGTGTCTTAGGCCAAAAAAGTGAATGGAATGTTGTTCCTTTTAAGTCTGCTTTGAGATTAACCGTTTAAGGCATACCGAGTGATTGTTTCACGATTATTCGATAAATGTATTACACCGAGCAACTACTGTGTTTGCTTCGGACTTTAGAGCCAATCAATTTTATGTGTAACATATATCTTTTGTCCTATCAATCCACTGATAACGTGTAATTTCAGCGACTGGTTTTCAACTAAACTGTAAATTACTACATTTCAGTCGTTGATTAAAAGAAGACTAGCAATATGGCTGTTAATGTCTATGCAACAAATGTGACAACAGAAAATCTGAGTCGACATGATATGCTGGCATGGGTGAATGATTGTTTGCAATCATCGTTCAGTAAGATCGAGGAGTTATGCACTGGTGCTGTTTACTGTCAGTTCATGGACATGCTTTTCCCTGGTAGTGTATCTTTGAAGAGGGTTAAATTCAAGACTAACCTCGAGCATGAATACATACAGAATTTCAAAATTCTCCAAGGAGGTTTCAAAAAGATGAATGTAGATAAGGTAAGTGAAAAAGATATTAATGCAATTTATTCAAAAAAACCCTAGATAGAAATAGTGCACAATTTTGAAGAATAAATTTCTTTGTCAAGCGGTATAGTATATACAAGATTAATCGAATTATAGACTTTAAAGTGAAATTTATACTTTATTTTTGTTATTCTCAAACATTTATTTGAATTATTGCTATATAATGCATAATAATATGCTCAATAATATATCTATTTGGTAAGAAAAATATGATTGAAATTTATTAGACTCGTACACACACACACAGCTAAAGAACTAGTAAGTCTTTTAAGTATCTTTTGCAAAGCTCCTATCTTAAGAATTCCTTGTTTAAGCGATATATATGATATAGTTGAACTCCAAGAATAGTTTTGAACATATATTAATGAAATGAGACACTAGTGTTAAGGTGAGCTCGAGCAATGAAACAAGATATCATGTCAATACATGGAATCAGATTGCTTCACAGAAAGTTTTGTTATATGAGCAGCATTATGCGGAAGATCGTAATCATATTATTATGAAAATGGTTCAGGTAATATCGGTGGATAAGTTAGTAAAAGGCCGCTTTCAAGACAATTTTGAATTTCTACAATGGTTCAAGAAGTTCTTTGATGCGAATTATAATGGCCGTGACTATGATGCTTACGAAGCACGTGGTCGTATACCACTGGGTTCTGGTGTTGATGGAACACATAATTTGTCAAATCCTCAATTGGTACCTTTACCACCTCAAATAAAGCAGCCTCAAATGCAACAAAAGCATATACAGCAACGTAACATTGTCCCTCGCCAGCAGCAGGGTATATAGCCATATAGTCTCAATTTAATAGTGTTGCTTTTTGCATGCTATTATCATTGTCCATACAGTTCTATAAATCATTTAACTTATGCTGCATAAACAATCATTCTGGCTGCGTATAGTTGCACTTTACATATGAAGCATTTTATATGTACATTTAGATATACTAGGGGGTTATTGTTGTACAGTAGAAAGCACTCTCTGCTTTTGCAATTTCAATCGTATATAAATGTACAGATACACCGTTTTATGTCATCCGATAGCACATTGTTTTCCTTTATACATCAATTATCTGTTTTAAACGTAAGTAGACTTTTATTTTTGCATTATGTTTAGTTATGCAACGCTAATAGTTATATGTGTGTTAAATATGGTAAAAAGTACTTATTTATTACACAAACTGAAATTATCAGTATACAGATAAAATTTCCAAAACCTTTACTATACAAGTAAAATACTATAACTAGTGTTTTGTTATTTTTAACAATCTATAGACACAAGTAGGGGGTAACAGATTGTCTTAGGGACATACAACAGACCGAATTTTCTTTATACTTTAATAAAACAACATGAATTTATGTAAATAAATCTGAACCGATGGTATAGTAATATATTTATTGTTCTAAACGTTTAACGAATCGCGAGAATATTAAAATTTTTTGATAATCATTGCCAATATTTTCTACCACGTTGGTATTTGTGTTTTATCTTTATTGTATTTTATTGATTTTTGTTTATTTTTCATTTATTTTATTATTTTGCTCCACATGCTTTTTGCTAATCGTTTGCAGATTGTTCCAATTGATAGGCTGGTGAAAGGTAGATTCCAAGACAACTTCGAATTTTTACAATGGTTCAAGAAATTCTTTGACGTAAACTACTCCAGAACGGAGCCATACGATGCACTTGCTATGCGAGGAGGAGAATCCATGGGTAGTGGTGGAAGTAATGCGTCGCACGGCACTAATGCAAAACGCACCACGCCACGTGATGTAAATTCGCCTAAATCAGCTGCTCGTCTTGGTACATTATTCCACAACTTTTTTCTTTTATGTTGTATTTGAAATTATACCACTAAACATAATGCAAAAAAGACCTATTAAGGATAATTGACATTTACAAATAATCAGAAGATATACGCTTTCCGTTAATCGATAAATCATTTTGTCCATTTTTACTTGTATATGAAAAAAATTATTTTTAAAATGTAAACTTATTTGCTAAAAGTATTCGATGGATCGTTGAATATTAATTTTTGTTTATTTATTTCATCAAAGCAATCTTAATTTAAATTGTTAAAATGGAAACATAATGGGCACATGCGTCCTAATAATATAAGGAAAAAATTTCACTTCAGGTGAGGGAACTGCGCCTCCTGCACTCGCAGCTAGTACCAAGTCTATAAGCCATACTAGTAATTATTTTTTTTTTTATAATGTTTTTATGCTCGTTTTTCATTTTTCTGTTCTATTATTGAGAAGTTTAAAGGAGGGTGCCTGTCCAAAAAAATGTTTATGGAAGCTCTAGTCTTTCTTATTAAAACAGTAAGAAAATTGTTCTGAATTTTTTTAAAGAAACATAATTTTGGTTGTCCATCCTTTGTTCGACTACTCAAAGAATTCGTTTACCTTATACATTATAAACTATTTCGATCATTTTTTGCATGAAGTATCATAATATTATTTTAAAAGTTGATTCAAATTTTATTTCCTACATTGATCGTGCAACTTAGAAACATTTAAGTAGTTAATATATCATTTGTTTGCTTATTAATCTTCGGACGGTAGATCGTCTTGGCGATCGAACGGAACGGCTCCATTTTGATCCAAATCTCCATGAAGTCTACTGCTACTACTATCGTTCTTTGGTAAAAAAAAAACTAAAACATTACGATTTTAAAATGGTTTCTACGAGTCAAAATGGACTCGTAGTCCGCTGTGCGAAGGTTACAAATATTATGCATAATAAATGTGTCGTTGCATGTTTTACAACTTTCTGTATTGTACAGTTGTTTGCATAAACTGTTCTGCTTTCAGTTAGAATATACGCACCGCTTCTATAAATGTCTGTACAGTATTATTTTCATTCGAAAGTAGATTTGTGACTAAGTAATTATAGTTCTCTTGCGAGTTGTACGTAATATCTATGTAAATATAGCGAGCACTATTTTGCATCTTAAAAAAACTAATATTATACGTAAGACATGTAAAGAATGACGTGTTAAACTTTTAAATCCAGTTAACAAAGTTCCTCCAATCCACCGTCCGCAAGTGAAAACAGCCGCAATTGGAAATCGCGGAGATCCTGGGAAAGTCGAAGAGCTTAGTGCGCAGGTATAGTAAGCTTGTTTGTTTGTCACGACGGTACAATACATTGTTGTAACCAAATGTAACTTTGTAGGTGATGGAGCTAAAAATGTCGCTCGAGGGATTGGAGAAGGAAAGAGATTTTTATTTCGGTAAACTACGCGATATTGAAGTTATGTGCCAAGAATGTGATAACGGAGACAATCCTCCACCAATAATAGAGAAAATCTTAGACGTCCTTTACGCAACAGAGGTATATTCTTAGGAAATTTAGTGTTTAAATTGTGTTTATATTAGAAAATTACGCGACTGGAAGCTGTTTCACGAAACGTTTCGTTTCTACATGTGTTATTTTTACTTTCACGTAGGAAGGATTTGCACCACCTGAAGAATTAGGGGACGGGATCGCGCCCGATGACGAGGAAGAATATTAACTTTTTTTTTTTTGTACAATCATTATAAAAAGAATAAGAGCAAACTGTCTCGAGTGCGTTTCAGGTTATTATGTTTGTGAGCCAGTATCAGTACCCTTTGCATAATTAATAAGCTACTTTGTATAGCTGTTCAAGCATTTGCGCCTTCATTTTGTTACAAAGTTCACCGAGTTCATTGAGATTCGCACGTAACTAGGATAGAAATACGTCGAATAATGCACTCGAATAAGTTGTACTCTACAGCAAGTAATTATTAAGAAGGAAACAGAATTAGTAATTTACATATTGTCATAGTTCTTTATCGTGCTACGATAACGGTAGAGTTTCGAACATCGACAAGTCCCAACGTACGAAGAAAAAAAGAAAAAAAGAGAAATTATGGACGCAGAATAATTATCTGAGTTCAGTTTGTTATACAGTGATTTATGTTAACTATGTTCATTAACGTGTGAGTGTTTTTGTTTGTAAATGCACTACGTTTTTATCGATAAATAGATCGATCTTGTCGGTTTGTCCATTTCGTACATCGCGTAGTTCTCTGAAACGTAGGGGGGGTCTATTCGTGCATAATCTAGCGCTGTTCCGACTCGTTGAAGCCATTTACCTCGTGCAATTATGCATAAACGAAAGATGTATGTAATTGATTGTTATTAATATTAATTTTGTCAACCGTAGTACGAAACAATTATGTATATCAAACTGATACGAAACGCATTAAAATTGAATTTCACAAGTTTTATAAATATTTTTTATCTTCGATTTAATGCATGTTGTTACACTTTAAGCGTATAATTGTAAACTTGTATGTAAAGAAAAAATTGCAGTTTAAACAATTCAGCAGGTGTGTACGTACGTCTTGAAATAGAATACGAACACGACGATTTACTAAATTTTCCAGCATTGATTTTTGGAGATGCACAAGATCGACGGTACATTGGATTTTGATCGACGCGTGGTTTCATTCGAATGTTATCGGTTCCGCGCGGAAGTATAGTACGAGCGTCTCTTTGCATCTCCATGGTCCGTTTTTCAGGATAAGGATGGCCTTAAACAGCGATCAAATTCGAAGGTTACAAAGAAATTATTAGAGTTGAACGCAAAGTGTATCCTCCCGAGTACTCTACGATAATCACGTTGCAGAACTATTAGACAACGGAGCGCTTCGCTTTTGAGAAATTTGTAAAATTGTGTAGCCTAGAGAGTGTACGAGGAATAACGAGCGAAAGGGTTCTCCAAACACGTAAAGCGGAAACCGTCTGCGTATTTGCTGCGTGTGTATGGCTGGGTGTGTGTATCTTTTGAAATCGTCGTTTGAATCAACAAAGACAAATTATGTAATGATTTTAGGTTTTTAAGAATCGGAGTAACTGTAAGAAACGCGTCAAATATTGTTAGAATTATTTGAATACGACTTTTAAGGGCGAGATATTGCATTTTAACTTCCGCTCGCTACGTCATTGCTCTATATGTACGTAAACGGCGATCATCGCGCGAATGTGCTTCAAAATTGAAATTTTATTGGTGAGGTAATAAACGTTTAATAGAATTCAATATTTTATTCTTCGTTTCTTCGTCTAAACCGTACTCTGTCGTTGAACTTTTCAGCCGAAGAAAACAAAATCGAGCAACTCTATACCCGTGAACTAACCGGCGGCTCCATCCAAAATGGCGGCTGATAAGATGCGCGAAAGCCATCGGGGAAGTTTCATCTGAAACTTATTATTTGCTATTTTTTAATGTTTCTAATTTCAATGTTCATTTATAGAACGTATTTCGAAGATATGTAAGTTTAAAACGTCGGTCACCAGTGACCGTCGATCATGCCAGTCGACGCGTTAACTTTCAAGAGGTCCCCAGATCCGTTTAGGAGCTCCCAGAATATCGAAACAGGACAGTTGTATAATGAGTAATATTTTTTGTACAAATGTTATTGCGTTCAATTAAGGCTTATCTAGTAGACAGAACAGTCTCCGATTACTGGTCGGTTCATCATCAGTGTATAATTACTTCGGAGAGATCGTTCAACCGATTAATATCGTCGCGGTCTAAAGCTGAATCTGTTAGATAACTCTTAGTACTCTTTGTACCAAAACCATCGGCATTACCAAATCGTAAACAGATCGCAAGCGCCAAAAAAAATTTCACAATTAACTTGTTCGTGTAAATTTTAGGCTTCGAGTCGGGCACATCCGGAATCTTCTAGTCATCTCGACACTGTCCCGAAACCAACATAATCTCGAGTGTCTCGAAAGCTCGAACGTTTCAAACGTTTCGAATTTTGCTACGAAACTGTTTCGCCAGTTTCATGCGTTTACGTAACTTTTGTAAGAAACGGTTCAAAGTCGCGAACGAGGTGGAAAAAATTCGAGACTTTGAAGCTTTCGATGGGGGAAGAGATGCCTCGAGATTACAAGCAGCGTGGGATTTGAAATTCTTGGAACGATCGAAAGTGATATTTTCGTAAGTTGTTGGTTCCTTTTAAAAATATATCAATGAAATTTGCACACTATTTCGATGGTTTTATCGAGAAAGATCAGGAGGTTTGGATACATTATAGCGAATATGCTTGCAGTGTTCCCGAAAAATAGGTGTATGAGACCGTTTAGAAGATTCCCAAGGCGATGAAGAGTTTCTTAAGATCGAGAATGATATTCGCGTTGCAACGCACGATAAGATTCAAAGTCCCACACCACTACCTGCGAGCATGAGAGCCGGGTCAAGTGGTCCAGGCTGCGATAGGGCCTGATCAGAGGTCGAACGCGTCTCGATCGAATCGAGTTTGATTAATAAAAACCCGACGGTTCGGGAAGCGTGCAATCGGCAATATCCATCACCTATAGCGCGCTCGCGCCTACACACGTACACACATGTACAAAATACTGGCTTGTGCACGTTCAGATAAGAGTCTCATGTTCGATCCAACGCTTCGACAAACATAAGTCTCCAATTACGATTGCATCGTAGCGAAACCGTGGAATAATTCGTCGGGGGTACGCGCAAAAGATTCGAGAATGCAGCCCGAAATCAGAGCAGCGAACAGATTCTACGGCGTGGCTCGCCGGTGGCCATGAACGTGCGCGATCGCGAAGAAACCACGGAGATACGCCGGGCGTCGGGCAAAAGTTCGCTGATCGACGATTCCTCCTCCTTCAGTCGTTTCAGCGACTACCAGTCGAAGCCTCCGTTAACGCGCGCCGCTCGAGGGTCATAATTTTCCTCGGACCACGGGTAGGATCGCCCTTGAAGGACCTCGCGAAGGATCGATCGTACCCCTGTCCACGGACCAGGTGAGACGACCAAACCAAACCGATCCACCGGCCGGTTTTTCCTCCTCCGTTTCTCCGCGGTTTCTCGCCACCGAACAGTAACGTTATACGTATTCCGAGCGGTTATGCAATACGATTTTTACGAGCACGATCTGTGGTTTTGTTCCACGCTATTCGGGATGCGTGTGCCAGTCGATACCAGGCAGTTGCACCGGTGATCTGGAAAGCGGTAATTCCTGGACGAAATATTACTTTGTACCCCTATCGAACCGAGGATCGAAAACACTAGGTCCATCGGGTTAACTGTATCATTGGATACACCAGTTCCAATATCCAATAATACATAATTAATTGTGCATCTCATTTTTAATTTTTGCCAAAAATTACCGCTCCCCAGGCCACACTGCGAACCACTGCGAGAACACGGCTCGATGGAGTCTCCGATCGCGATACTCTTTCAAGTACTATCGTCTGCGATCGCACAGTGCATCGAGTTCGTAAGTAGCGTTTCTTCCGAACAATTTAATACTTTGTATCAATATCTCTGCCATTGTACGTTGCGTTTTGTTTGGTCGAAACTCGCGAGCACACCGATTTCAATTCGAGCGATCGATTTCAATCTGCCAACGTTTGTCCCCGTCGACCTAAACAACAGAAAAACAAGTCCACGCAAAGTTTCCGCGAGCGTAGTTCGTCGCGAGCAGCGCGTGTCGATGTTATCGTCGAACGACCAGCGTTTCGGTGAGTCTCGTTTTAATTCATATTCGATATCGTACGAAATTCGCTCGAAAAGAAGAAATTGTAACGTTTTGAAATTCGTTAAAATCGTCTATCGAGAGGTACGGGAAAGTCAAATGGAATTAGAAACGAGGAATAGCCGTCATCGTGGAAAACAGGTATAGCTTCATGGTTTTTCGTAAATATTTCGCGAACCGGTAATCTCACGGGAAAAGTAGATATAACTAAAATTAAAGGGCGCAATATTTTCCACGGAAAAGGTATCGTTCGTATTTTTGATAATTCTAATATTCCACGAGTATATCAAATTTGCTTAACATTTACGCGTGAATGATCCTTGAGGTTGAGAATAAAAAATTGTTTGGGTACGGTACGCAACAACTACATGCGAATTATACTAGTCTGCGTAATATATGGATATATGGTTCGCGAAATATTAGAAAAAAATAGGAATAGAGCTGTTTCGGTCCAAAATGACGGCGAATTCTTTGATTTCGATCTTGCGGGAGTTTTTCTGCGTTTGACAGTACGTCTCGATAGACCGTAATATTTGTTTATTCGCCGAAATCGGCCCCCTCCCTCCCCCCTGATCGACTGGGGGGCTGCTTGTGCTTCTGTTTCCGTTGTACGCGCCAAGATGCAATTTTTATTTCGTTAGGAGTGTCTCCGAGCCCCGGGGCGGATAGCACCCACCGGGTCACGCCTCCTCGATAGCGAAATTATTGCCGCCACTTTTGTTGCTTGTTTGTCGTCGGATCCGCGGCGAACAATTTTTCAGCCGCGGTATCTTCGAATACGAAATTGAAGGAGAATTGTTCGCTCGGACGGCGGTAGATAAACCTCGACGCAAAATGGTGGCGGAACACGCGATTTTCAGTGGAAATTTAACGCGACTCTCGGATCGGTGGGGTGACACGCTTCTTACAGACTGACTCGCGAATCTCTTAGGATTACACGCGCGTGTGCTTGGAATTGTACGACCCTAAGAGGATCGAGAACAAGTAATCTTTCATCTTGTATATACATATTTTCGAAATCGTTACGCTTTTGTACCTGTTGCATCAGATTTCTCAGTGTCGAATGGGTAAAAATAGAAAGAAATGTTTTACGAATTGACAATGGAAAGTTTAAGTTTGCGTTATCGAGCGTAAAGCTTGAATCGAGTAGGATCGTGCGACGTTTCGCTAGGACCGCGATCTATCGATCTCGTCCACATCGCGGCCGGTTGAAACGAAAATGGCGGATAGTCGGTGGTCGTCGAAAGGTCTCTTTTTTTTATATTTGGTCGTCGAAGCGTTGCGTTTTGCAGCGGGAACGTTTCGCGATGGGAGTTTCTGCGCTTCGGGCGATACGGCGAGGTCATGCCTTCTCGATAGCGAATTATCACCGCCGCGTTTCTTATTGTTTATTTATTTTACCGACTCGCGACTCAACGGAGAGGGATTTTATTTGCACGAACCCGTCAACGAACTGTACGCTCCTCGATGGTACAAAGTCGAAAACGTCGCAGGGAAGGTTGGGGAAATGCGTCCACGAGACGCGCGGAACGTTTCCCCGTCCGGTTTGAAAAATATAAATCGACAAAGTTTTATTAAAATCTGCCAGGTGATTTTAAACGGTGCAAGATCGTTGGAGTTAAAATACCAGGTTCTGGAATACGTGGCTCGATCAATAATAATCTACACCGCCTTTTCCTTTATTTTCAGATCGATCTTAAACATGGAGAATGAAGGATCTCCGTCCGTCGTGAGTGTCGAATTACCATAAACACCTATCCGTTGGGTTCGATTATCATTATTTAACGTTTTTTTAATCGATCAGGCGACGCCCAAGCCACAGGAAGGTGCAACAGGATGGACGTTCCCGTCGATTCTGGAGTCGGGCGTCATCACAGCGTCGCAGAGTTTCGTGGGACAGGTGTTGTTCAAGCTGGTCGATTCGTTTCTCTGGGTGGTCGAGAAGTCCGCGCAATGGAGTCTACCAGCTCAGGAGATCAACGCCGGTACGTCGACGAACCATTTTCAAATAAACGAAGAAACAAAGCGCGATCGGAGAACGAAAGATCGCGTGGTTGATAAAATACCTGGTTTCTTTGTTCATCGATGCAGACGAGAATGGAAAAGTGTTTGGGAAGATACAGCTGGTGAGGCCGCTGCCTTGGATTCTATTCCTGCCGAGTTTGCTAATGTTGCGTATCGTCAGAGCTGGATTGAACGTGGGCGCCTTTGTCCTGGGCTACCCAAAAATACAACCGAGTGGAATGGTACGTAATTTTCGTCGCGATAACACCGAACGAGTGCATTGAAACTGTATTGAAATTAATGTTTCAGGTAAAGTACGTGCAAAAGAGTCGCAGACGTTTAAGAGCGTTGAATTTGAAGGCGGTAAAGTCTGCTAGGCGCAAAATGAGTAACAAGGTAAATCGATTTTATATGCGTACAGATATTGATATCGAGTGTACCTGTCCCACGTGTGTCCCGCAAAACCGTGTAGTTATGGTCAAAACTTGAACATGCACCGTCTGTGAAATTCCACCCCCCGTAGTTTAACGTTTAGCGTACCGTTCGACATCCTCTCTCCAATTCGGTCAGTCCTTAGACAGTTAATTAAACTTAGCACGATAATAGTCTCGGTGATGGATGTAGGACAAGAGATTGACGTTGATCGAGGCCAAGAAGGCCCTGATCAGATCCATCAGATTGACACTGTCGACGCTATCTTGCTTGGACACGTCCAAGTCGTCGCCGTCGCCTCCGCCGACGAAAATTCGCATAACCGGCATGGATCTCGAAACGGTGAGTAAAACAGTTTCACCGGAAACACACGTCGTCTGTAAACCGACACTCAACGACCAACGGTTTCTAGAAAAGATATTCCTGCGTTAAAAGTCCTTTTATGTACCGTACTTTGTGAGTCCCTCTATGTATCGGAGATCATAGTTGTCTGATCAGATTGATGTTTGTTCGTCGACTACGATCGTGCCGGGTAAATTGCAGGCAGCAACGCCGGACGAGAAATCGACCACGGAATCCACCGGAAGTCCCATGCACGCGGAGATCAAGCGCAAGTACTCTCAGGTGAGCTCCGGCGAGGAGAGCAGCGACGACTCCGAGAACGAGACGCTGCAAGCGAAGCTCGACAGAATCGCGTTGCACGACACTTCGGACAACAGCTCGGACGATCCCGATTTCAACGTAAGCGAAACCGTGCAATCGTTATCCGGCTCAATTGCTACCTCGTCTATATTGAAATCGCGAGTTTGAGATTCTAGTTTGATGGTAGCTTCGATAACGTTTCAGCCCGGCGATTGCGTGACGGATTCGAGCACGTCGAGCAGCGAGAACGAGGTGGACAAGAACGTGTCCCTGACCGAAGTGCTGGACGTTCAGAAAGAGTGCGGGGAGATTCAGAACAGTTTCGAAGAGAAGCCCGAGCCGCTTACTCTCGATAAGGTAAAGGCAATATTCGCAGCTGCTTTCTTCCTGCATTACACGTACTTCCTGTTAAACACGGTCTCTAGCGAGTAGAGGCGATCGAATGTGGGTGGACGGAGCGGAAATGACGAATAATAAATGGTCCAAGTCTCGAATCGACGACAATAGTTTTTATAATGAAACAAAGACTCGCGTCAGGTTCAAAAATTTGAAGAAAAGAAAAACTTTTTTGGGATTTTAAGTAACGCGTTCACGGACGGTCAAAGTTCAACGGGGGGGTACGATAAGTTGGATCAATCGCGCGCGTTTCACCGATGAAATTAACAAACATACGAGCGACGCTCAATCTCTGTCGCGAATTTGAAAAACAAGCGGAATAAACGCTCGAGAAATTGTGACACTCGCTTCGCCACCGATACGTAGCAAGAAAACAATTAGAAGCGATAAGCTCTCGCGTTAATGGCTGTTCGAAGGCGCCAGGTTCGGACTTATGGTTCATCGCTTCTCGATACGAATTATTCCCGCACGTCGAAGGACAAAAAACCATTCGTTGATCGTCTAATTGCGAGAAACAGCGCTGATTACGAACAACCGGATGTTAATAAACGACCGTTCTGTTTGCTCGTGGCTCCCGTACGCTTTCCCCTGCGTAATATTTAAAGAAAATTTTCGATATTATTTCTTTTCGCTTAGGCTATTATTAGCGTAGTATACGCCGCTTTATCACCGTACAAGTTACAGACTTGCACGTTCGGAACGCAATTAAAAAGAATGGCTGTATCCATTATCGATCGATAAACTGTAAAAATAAATCGTATGTATAGTCGACTGCATCGACATGCCTTCTAACATAGTTACATCGTTCTGGCGTAGGCGAACCGTTTCTAGATGTAGATACCGTTATGCGTCTTATTTTTTTTATACTTTGTCGATTATAACTCCGCTTTGTACCAACGGAATATTGTAATACTTAGTAAACGTAATCTCTAAAACGTTAGATCATCGACGTGTAACGAACGCCCTTTCCTCGAGAGATCCAAATAAACGGAAGTTCGCGTAAAGATTTATTTTCTTTGGTACCGTAAGCTACGTCAGCAGGCGTTCAACGATGGACGAATATATTGGGTTGGGGAACAAGTTCGTAGCGTTTTTATCAAAGAAGAAATACAGGCTCCCAATTTTTCGGCAAAATGAAGATGATCGAGAATCGTGTTATGATCGCGGTTCATTTTTTCGGTCAATTCGCGACTTGTTTGGCGACCTTCCTCCTTCAAAAGTGTTTTGAGACGCTCTTCGTCGAATTCGGAAGGTCTTTCGCTCAAAATCGCCATTTTTGAACTTTGCAAACCATTTCCATGCTATAGACTCGCCTATGACACCTTCTCGGGCTGCTTCAGCAGCTTTTTGGCCTCGATGAAAAGCTAAGAAGAGCCAGGCGTCGAAAATGTTGCTTTTCACCTCCTGGATATTCCATTTCTAAGCGTCAAAAGTAATAAAAAACAAACTTGCTCAAAAAGACGATTAGCACAGTTTCGTAGAGCAGAAAGAGCTCTGTCGAACAGTAAAAAATCGTTGCAAAACAAAAGAAGATATAAAAACGCTACGAACTTGTTCCCCAACCCAATAGTTGTTCTGATGGTTTTTTTTTTTTATTTAAGCAATTGAAACCCTTCTGGATTTATTTCGCGTTACAGAGATTAATATAAATGGGTACAATAATATAGAATACAGAAATAATACAAGAGAATATAATAATAATACAAGTGAATACAGTAACAATGTCGCGTGGCGTTCGAGATCGGTGAATCGTTTGCGGGTACAAGCTAATATATTTTGTTTGTACAAGTTGCAGGAAGGAAGCGCGAAGAGCACGGAGGAGACGGAGTCCAGCATCGGTCGCGTGGACAGTTCGGGTGAGTCCATCTACTCGTCAGCAAAGGAATACCAGGAGGACGACGATTGGTCATTTGACGCGCCCATCGGCTGCGCGAGCGGTTCGCTGGAACAATCCGTTCCCGTCAACCAGATCGTTTCAGCGCGCCGCTCTTTCAGCCGATGAGGTACGATGAATCGTTTGTCACACCTAACAAAATCCGACTGATTAGAATAAAGGAGATTTCCGCCAGGAAACGTTTGAAAGTCTCGCTGACTGTTTTACTTCTTGCCGGCCTCTTGTCCCCGACTCGCTCGAAAACGATCGACATTGTAAAACAACGCACGGTTTATCCCTTTAGAATAATAGAATTACCTCGTATAACGGGTAAAGTTAAGTGGAATTCGTTCTGTCATAACAGCGTTCGATCGTTGTAATGTCGCGCCAGCGACGCGAAACCGATTGCAATAACGAGGATCGTTTCTATCTTTGTAGAGTCGAAGCTGCAAACAACCAGCCGTACCAGCATCGATTTTATCAACGGGGAAGTAAATTCCACTTTGCCACCCGTGCCAACAGGTATTTCGCTAAAGAGACTTTGATTTAAACACGGCACCCGCGTACGTTAACCGGGGCACAGAGTCGATTCGTTGGGGGAAACGAAACTCTGTCCACGTTTCCGCGGGAACTAAAATTTTGATCCGCGTCTACTGGTTTTCAAGCGCCAGCACCGACGCCGGAAGTGACGAACGGAGTGGTGGCCGAGCACAAGGGGTCGAATCGCAGGTCGAGCAACGCTCCGTCGCAGCCGCGAGGCTTCAACGCGAGGGAACACGCGCCGGCCAGTCAGGAGAAAAAGAGCAACCCTCGCAAGAAGCCGGGTCGAAGAGACGCCAAATAGACCGCGGGGTTCTCTCGATCGAAGAAACGAGCAGAGCGAAAACGCTTTCGCTCGGTGCAGGCTCGTCGACGGGGGCTTGTGGGTAAAACGGAGCCCTCTCGATCGCGAGTCGTCTTACGAGAAACGATGCTCCTTCTGGGTACATGTAGCGCGCACGAGGAACAACGTTATCGGTAAGGTTGCAGAGTGTTAATCGAACGGTCAAGATCGAATGTTTCGCGCGATTAGCGTTGTTCGACTACGCTTCCGGAGATACCGCTGCGTTATCGCCCGTTATCGACCACGATTTCAAACGAACCGTACGCGTTACCGTTTCTCGCGAAAGAAACGCTACGAAAAATCGGTACTCTTCGGTCGCCCTTTCCGCCACAATCGTCGATACGTACGATATTGTATTCCTAAACTCTTTGTTTATTATTATTATCCTGTTGCATGCCCGTGTACTACGAGAAGAAGCTGAAGACATTCCGTGTTCCCATAGTGTGCAATTATTCGCGTTCGTTATAATCGACGGAGTGTAAAACAGCGATCGGTTGTTTAATTTCATATCGTATCAATAATAACTAGCTTTAGACCAGTTTCACGCTATTTTTACAAAAAGACATTCACCGTTTCCATAGTTCGCGATTATTTGGAAACTTGACGCACGTTTTCGTTACTTTGTCGAGCAAAATCATTCTGATAATACACCGTTTTTTATTACGTATTATGTTTATACGGTAGCAGCTTCCAAGAAGAAAAGAAAAGAATCTTACATCTCGCTAGTTTCGCCCAGCCATCTTGTTCATCCCCTTAATTATATTTTCCATTCCGTTCCATCGATTCGCGAGAGTATGCGAGCGGACGAAGGGTATGGAAATTCGTAAGTTTACTTTATCTCGCGCTTCACGAACGTACGATTATCTCATCGCGCGAGGCCGGCTTGTATGGTTATCGCTATAGATGTACAATTAACTTTTACATTAATAAATTATTTAATCTAACGTCTGTTGCGTTACGAAATCCGTCGTCGAACGCAATAAACTGCGTACAACCACGATGACATAATCGATATATGTACATATTTCGCGTAACCTTCGGTCGAAAGGAAGTTAACTTGTTTTGACTAGAACCGAACGTTTAATTACGAGCCGACGCGAACGTAATTAGAATTAATCGGTGATCGCGTACTTTTTCTTCATTACTCGATTTCGATAACGGAAAGTGTATTAATTGTAACAAAAGAAAGAAAAAAAACAAATTCAAAGTTCGAATTTCTTCTCGTCAGTCTATGGTGTTGGGGTATAATCGTTAAGGAAAATTTTAAATATATTAATCAAGTGCTTTGACACTCAAAGTATCTAAGAATTTTAGCAAGACTGCCAAAATAATCACGACAAATTTTAAATTTAAATTAAATCCAATCGTCTGAAAAGAATATGTTGATCTCTGCAGAGAGTTTCACGAATTTGGTCTGACAATGTGTCGATTGACTTCCTCGCGATCACAGACAATTTCCCGTCCAGTTATTTCTACTCTAATCTTCGATTGTTAAGCACGTTTCTTTATACTTTATTAAAATATCTTTAAATTACGTATTAGACGATGTTCTTTTCTCGAATTCTAGCCTCACGACACCCTTTATATCGCGGAGAACGATGCTCGAGAAATTCACGGTACGCGCGACAATGTAACAAACCGACGCGACGTTTTATTGTCCACGATGTTAATAATATCGATACGGTGCGCTCGTTCTTGCGAAAAAAAATACCCCTTATCGTGAATCACGATAAATAGAGATTACGGCCCATATGCCGTGCGTGTGCTTGATGGACAGATAAGTGCGTTACACTGTCCTAGAAATGGAACGAAAGAAAAGCTTGCAAGTGACCGTTTCACCGATCCTTGTAAATCATCAACACCCTACACTATGCATACAATACGAATTTCTACTTTATTAGATCGTCATTACAAATATTCTCAACTCGTGCCATTTAATTAAGTTATTCTTTCGTTTCCGTTCCACATTCACTTTTGTTAATTATAAGAACACCGTTGAACGCAAACATTTCGAGATTACAAGGTTTAAACCAACGAATCGCAGTTTCGCTAAGAAAGATTGTTCGATATAGTCTTCTATAGTAGTTTACGACGTAATTTGCAGTCGTCTCCAAGATCCAACGAAGCACGATGCTCCCTTGGAATCGTTGCAGCTCGAGACGCTGGTTATCCTTTTTGCAATTGTAGGAATAATCGTTGAGCGTATGCAGTTCGGCTGAAAAACCGAGCACGCTTATCGGGGATGGTTGCATATATAAATATTGATACGGAAGGAAATGTTTCGCTTTATCAGTGCACTCGTAGCAGACTCTGTTCGGTAGCACTTGTCGGCTAAGCCTGGATACTTCACTTCGAGGGTCTCTTGTCATTAACAAATTGTAAGGTACATCCGACCGTCGAGTAGCAACAATTAGTTGGTTATCAGCCGTGAACTCTTTGTTCCACCCTTGACATTTAGACCCGGCGACCACGTGCTGACTGACAGCCTCAAGAGACTCTCCAACCATAGAGATCTTGTTGCTCTCACCAGCAAAAACTCGAGAAATTCTGCAACTTTTCCTGTGAATTTCGATAGGGTAGCAGTTTTAGCGAAGGGCTATCGTGATAATCAGGGTTCCGCTCTGATTAATTACTGGTGTCCGGCGAGCAAGCATAAGCTTGTAACAAAATCTAAATTACCAGATAGCAGTAACAGTGACAGCAAACATTGTATTATATATGTATACACGTGCGTATCTATCGAGATCTCGGTGTGTCTGACTAGCATAGAAACATAGATCACCGTCATTGGTCCGAGATACCGTGGAATCGTAACGCGTGAAAGATACGGCGATCTATTACCTCAGTCTTTGTTCTTGTATTTGTATTTTTTCCTTTAAAAAACCGCGTCGCTGTTGTCTCTCACCATCGACGGTATTTAATTTAATTTTATAAACGAAAGTCGACGAGTCGGAAATTTTCTTCGATCTATTAGAATTGTTTTTTCGTATTTTTTAATCAATTTTTGTGCGGTTATAATTGCAAGAATTTTCCACCGTGATTTCACTAAATTGCTTAATCGTAGATCAGCGAGAATCGTTTCGTTATAAAATTTCTGCCGCCACGGGTATACCGAACCTTTTGAAAAGCCGATATCATTTGGGACTGTCTGACGTTACAGTAGTCAAACTAATCTATATAGGGTGTTATCAAACAGATAACGTTGCCGGAGCTCCTATCTGGTAGCCATATTTTTGATACAATATATAGGTGATCGATATATCCTCGTATAGTTCTCAGTGAGTGAGAGTACCTATTACGGGTTGGACGAATCGACGATCCCACGCTCTTCGATCATCGATCGTTCCTTCCGCGATCCCGCGTCTTTGAAAATAAATTTCGTTCTCGATATCCCCGGGGACCGGACATGCGAAAAATCATCGTTCACGCGTATCGTCGAAAGGATTGAAAAACAATCGCTCGAGGAAGTTGAATTTGTGCGCTCGACGAAGGAAAAATCGCTTCGAATGAACTCGTCACCAAAGATCAGCCGGTTTCGCGTTTGATAGAGAGCCTAGATCACAGGTAACGACGCGTTTCAAGAAGAGGACCCGCGTTTGAAACATGGCGAACGGATACGACGAGTGCTACGACGCGTCCTGGCATGTGTTTCCGCCAGATTACGTGGAGGACGATTACAGGTAAGAGTTAGTGGACGAATCGAATTGCAATTACGTACGAAACTCGCGATAAAGTGGCTGGTCGAAGTTTTGCTCGGACACGAGGATAGGGAAACCCTTTGGTAAAAGTATGGAGAATAATTTCAGTCGCCGTGAGTCGTTTCGGCCATGTTGCGCGGGGTGGCGAGGCCCGAGAAAACCCTTGAGAACGAATTTTGTACGGGGGATGGTAGGGGAACGTGGCGGCAGAAAAATGGAGTTTTACGTTCATTCATGAACTGTAGGTTTACAATGGAGCAGCGGATCCCGGAGTCATGAATGAACGTAGTACGTCTCGTAGTAGGTGGCTCGACGGGTGGGCTTCGGGGAAGCCTCTTTCAGGGAAGCTTTCTCGAGAAGGCCACGTCTTCTTTGGGCTGCAGAAGCCACGGGGCCAAACGTGACCCAAACTCTGCACGGCTCGTTAAAGACCAGCCACTGCCGTCGTTTAAGAAACATTTAAGAAGTTATTCGACGCACGGACCAACAACTGCACCTCCATTCACGTTCTTCGACCATTCTGTACGGTCCTGTTAAGGTCGTAGAAAGTATTCACCAGTCCTACGAGCTTTTACGATTGCCTAAGGAGAGTGGAGTATTTCTGGAGAATCGAAATTCGAAATTTTATGCCTCGAGATTGGACCAGTATCGAGAACAACGAAAATTGCGTGAGAGTGTTTCGTTTCGCGTTATCGCGTGTATCTAATCGTTGATCACACGGGACGCCAAGTGGGGGGAAAAATGGAAAAATAGTAGAAACGATCAGGACGGATGTAGGTCGCGTGTCGAGATCGAAACTTTTTCGTTTTTATCGTAAACGCGATCTCGGTGTATCGATGCGCCTGGGACATTTTCGCTGACCTTAATCGAGAGCAGCAAATAATTTTCTAGCTTCTTTTGGAACCGTGTATCGTTTCTAATATCTTGCACCTTCCACGGTCGTTCGCGTGCAAGAATCCCGATCGCTCGAGTAACGTACGAGGAGAGGAAAAATCGGTAACCGGGGAGGAAAATCAACGATACCGTTAACGCCACAGCGATTAGCATATCTGATTAGGCGGATAGCACCGGAAACCGGAAGCGAGCGTTTAAGAGCCAGTCACGCATATCGGTTAGGCGAATCCTTGGGCATAGAGTGGTACGCCTTGTTACACGGTGCCGGACACACGCGAGAACCGAAAGGGCCGAAGTGCCAACACCTGTTGGTTTCCACCATAAATTTCGGATTAATCGTAAACGCGTTTCTACCTGCGAGCTCGAACCGAGAACCACCGATGCCGGAGACTAGCTACAACTTGGCCAAACGAACGTTACAGGCTCGGGGGAATCGAACATTTACAAATCGTAAAACCGATCGACGAAAGCTGCGTGGCCCTGATCGTAAAATCATGGACGCGAACGATCCATGAAACTAACTTGGAATCTGATTTTCCTTTCGATTCAAATATTTCTTTACGGTAGAATTCGTTCGTCAACAAATTCCAGACACGGTCTTTCTCGCTTCGAAATTTCGATCTTCGAGCGGCCACTTGATGTTTCAGTTCGTTTTTCGAGGATTCAGGTGTCGAGGGTGAAACGTGCCGCCGTGAATGGAGTGGAATCCATTTACGAGTTATTTCGCCTATCCCCCATTACCATTACAATATCGGTACCTGTCGGTCAAACACCTGAGGCTCCCGCGGTCCGTATTTATTGCCACTACGTGCCGGCGCAACGTTTCTCGAAAAATGTCCTGTCCCCGGGTACCAGGACCTTCGTCCTGAATGGGGATGGCCGCGTAGCTGCGAGCGGGGAATCTGAATGTTCAACAAGCTCGAGTGCCACTAGACTTTGACTATCGAAACCGGCGAACCTCGAGTGGAGAGTCGAGTGGACCTTGCACCCGGGGGCTGGACAAATTTTTAAGCACCGTTGCTCCTTGTTCCCCGGTCAATTATCGTTAAAGATGCCTCCCCCCAACGAAAACTACGATCGTTTCCCTTAAAAAAGCTCGTTTTTCTCGTGGATCTCCTAGCCATCGAGCCACGGCTTGTTTCATCGATACAGAATATACTTTTTCGCTATTCAACGCGTAATTGACGATTCCTCGGTGACCCCCTGTTAAAGTCTTCGCTGAAATCCAGATAATCTCGGCTGGCTGATTAACTCGGAACAGTTGACGCGTTTTAAACTCGCTGTTAGAGAATTCGAGATAAACCAGAAAAGCCAGATCGTCCGGACTTGGAGTTAATCCGTTCGAAGGGACGAGGGACGTCGTTTGGTCGACAAGAGGGAAAAGTACTTGACCCGGGCAGCTGGTAAAGCAATTAGACCCAACACCAACGATTGTAAAAATGGCGCGAAATTGCCGGTCGCTCGTATCGAGAAAAGTTTTTCGAGTGGAGAGCTCGTCAGAATTTTCATCGAGACGAAAGAACCACGCGAAAGAAGAACCCCGGCGCCGGCGATGGCGTTTCTCGTTTCCGCGTCGCGTCGTTCTAACTCGGTTAGAATCGAATTCAACGAGACGGTCTCGTAATTTTTCCGTAGACGGAGTTCTCCATTCGTCGACCAGTCGTGGAAACGCCGAGCGTCGGCGGGCGAAAACAGGGAGAAAAAGAACTCGGGCCGAGAGAAGTTGGAGCTCCCCGGTGGCAATCGAGCAACATTTGCCAGGATCCCACGACTGTTTGGCGATAGCTGTGCCAACTTGTTTCGAGCACGCAACCCAATTTGTCTGCGTCTCATTGTTTTACCGGCGGACCTCGCCGCGCGATCGTCGTGCTTTCCTCGCCGACTGAAAACGTCGAGGGGATCGTGCCACGAATTATTACGGGCCCCTCGACGATCGAGTGCCGCCGGGGCTCCCCTGGACGCTTTTCTCCTCGAAAATTCCAGACACTGTACACTTTCTCGCTCGAAATACCAGTTCCATCTCTCAAAAAAAAAAAAGGCGTTCTTAATTTCACGTGGAAATCTGCTTCCGCGTTCTAAATCCCGTAGGAGTCGCGAGAAAAAGTCAGTAAGGTCAGGTCCCCGCCCTCTTCCGTACTTTTTGACTTTTTCGCCGGGCCAGGGAGCGTACAAAGGCCGCGATGAATAAACCGGAAACCCGGTCTATCGTCGTCCCTGTCCGTTACCTGTTCCTCGTGCTCGTCGGACTGTCCTAGCGGCGATCTACCTCGTCGGATCCGCGGGTCCATTGTGTCTCACGATTCGTCCTAGTTTTTCGAGTGGGATCCATTTGTCAGAGGCTAAGCGATCGTGGTCTCGTATTCGAGATTTATCGACGAGCTTCGATGGCTTAGGGACCTTCGAAGACGCTCAGAATTCGCCCCTATGCGTCGTTAATCTTGCGCCACCGGTTTTTGAGTCGCTATCTACGTCCAGGTTCGAATGTTTTGGTCCGAAATGATCTGGCAAAATATAGAAGATCGAACGCGGCCTGATAGTATATATATCTTCGTCGTTGAGTAGCACTTAAACGCTTATCTCGATAAGGGATGGGAATAATAATATTTTTCTGAAAATCGAGACCACCTTCTAGCCGATAGTTAGCATATGAGCTGGACACGAACGCGGAATAACGCTAATGGAACGACGATGGAGAATCTGGTTGGCGTTCGCTCAACGTTCTAGTTTATTTACGATCGAGCCAACCCTCGAACAAACTGCGAATTTCTATTCTTACGCGAGTATGTACATATATTTTCCTTTGTTTGTTTATTCGTTGGAGAAGATGGACAGGCTATATTGTTAATAACCTTGGTTTCGAGCCACCTGTACGCAAGATTAATTTAATTCGAAACACTCTAAATACCAGAAGCGCGCGAATCGTGCAACGATCGCGACGACGCGACGTACGCGAACGCTTTTAACCCAGTTTCTGGTATCGATAGATCTCGGTTTGCAAAGGGGTTGGGAGGGGGTGAGAGTGGCCTAAAATTGTCGGAAGAAGCGGGAGGGAAAAAATCGAAATGACACAGTAAAAGCACCGCTAATGCTCTTTCGCATTAACACTCGACGTAAAGTATGCTCTCGGTGTAAAAAGCACTGATCGATAGAGCCAGCCGATTGGTCGGTCGGCCGTGAGGGTTGAAATCAACCCCCGAAACGGTCACCGTGCTCTCATTGGTCGAACGCAGGCTCCGCCCCGTGGAAACACGAAACGGTTCGAGTCGATCCTCCACCGCGATTCGCGTCTCGATAAATTTCTATTCACCCTTCTGCTACGTTGCACTCTCGAATCCAAGTACACATCTCCGCCGTCGCAAATACTGTCTTATACTCGGATAGCTTTCAGGTCTGGACTCTAAACGTCGCTATAATATATCGTATCTTCGAAAACATTTGGTTCGAACGCGGTTAATTTATCGTCGACGATCATTAAGTTTCACGACCCTCGAACACCGAAGCCTCGTAGCAAGAAAATGTCCGGAATAGGTAGCTTCAGCAGAGGGTAGTACGTTACGATCGAAACTGATTCCGAAGGGATGACGACTGGCGTCGCGGAAATTTTCGGTCGGTGGATCGTCGAGGAGTGCCAGCCAGCCAGGGCGCACCCGATAGGGGTGGACTGTCGCTCGGGTCGGCCGCGAGGGGCGAGCTCTGAATCTCCGCCCCTGGGAAGAACCGCCCTCGTATTCGAGGGTGCTTGACGGGCGAAACTGCGCGGAGGTAGGGAACACTAGCCGTCAAGTGCTCGTCGAGGACACTCAAAAAGTACAAGGAGAGCCCTTCAGCCTCTGGGAAAAGGACTCCAGGCGTCTGTCGGACCCGGGCGTCGTCGGTTCGTCGCGAAGAATTCGGTCAGTCGCGAGCGACCTTTCCACCCTTCGGACGTTGATCACAGGATCCTCCGTCGTCGCCGTCGATTCGGTACCGTTTCGTGTCGCGATCGCGTTCGCGGGTGTACGATGAACCCCGGGGAACCGTACCGCGGGCCGGAAGGGGATGTGCGCGAGTGAGGGTTGAAATCACGGGTAGTTTGGTAGCCCAGAGTGTGACGGTGTTTTGGGGAAAAGTGACCACGGACGGGGGCAGAGTAGAAAGGGACGAAAGTGGACGAGTGAAAAGTAAACAGAGAAGGTACGAGAGAGATATAGAGAGCAGACGCTAAGACAGAGGGGTAGAAAGAAAGATAAAACAAAGTGAGAGAGAGAACTCGAGGGAGAGAATTAAAGAGGAGCTATATTCGGGTTCGAGCGAACCAACGAGGACGTTTCCTAACATGTACCGACGCCGCTAAACATCTCTTCGAGACCCCTTTCAAAATGGCGGACAAGAATAAGATTCTGCCGTGGTCGCTGCTATCCTATCCGACCAGTCTCTTGAATCACGTCTGGTACAGCCACCTTGCTTTCAATAATAGGTAAACGAACCATCAAAACCGACTATCACGCGTAACCAAGCTTCTTGCTCGATCGTCTTTCGCGGACGAGCACGATTAAATAGTAGATCGCAACAAAACGCGGTAGATCGTAGCTTTTTAAATGCCAGTAGACCAAAGGAAAGCACGACGCGACGGGGAACGAACCTTGCAAAGTTTTCGTAACAACTCCTCACGATTATTCTTTCAATTCGCTCCCAATATAATATACTTTTATATACATAATATATTCTTTTGAAAAGGGTTGTAAAAACGGTGTGAAAATGGGCTCGAGATAAGATGAAAACGAACGAAAAGTTGTTGGGGGGTCCCTCGATAACTCCATCGATAAATCAGCCGTCGCGTAATCTCATCGAGATCTTGATGGCCCTCGAATTCTTGCACGTGGCTACGGCGACATGTATCGCGGCTTATCGAAACGCGTTCACGCTCGATTTTTACGTCGATCGGATCCGCGCATGTTTGCGGTATCTTGCAAAGAAAAATAGAAGCCGTACATCGAACGCACGATGATTTAATTACACGTTGGAATCGCTGGTGATTTCAACGCCGACGATTATAAGAATCGACGGATGACGGACGAGCCATTCTTATGGCATACATTTATGGTCTTGAAACGCGATCGTTCGAGGCACTGCTTTGGTTAAACTTTCGTTAAACGTTCCCGGCTATCGTTCGTTTCTCGCCGGAAGCCTCCACAAACAGAGCGACCCTTCGTAACTTTTTTCATTAAAATCTTTCTCGCGCAAAGCCAAGGTACGTTAGTTACCGCCGGAAGAAACGATCTCCTCCGGACCCTGAACTTTCCTACAGTTTGCTCGAAAGAGAAGAATCCCCCGCGGTAGCAATATTCTCTTCCATTCCTCGAACTATCTTTCGTGATCGAGCGTCGCAGGGCTTTTATCGAGGAACGTGGCCGAACGTGCCGCGATAATAGGTCGTTTGGCTTAAACTGGTAGGCCGGAAATTCGCTTCTGTGCCCGGACAGGTTGTTTGGTAGAAAAACTGCAGGTATCCTTCGAGCGGGCTGCCCTTTGACGGAAAAGACGCGTCTAATCTGGTCTTAAAGGCCCGGCTGGCTTCTTGACGCTCGTCACGGGGTCTCCAAACTTTCGGAAATTGGATTGATTCGTTCGAAACCGACCATTCCGACCGCAACTCCTCGACTCGCGAATGTCCGGTGCAACTTTTCGGGGTCCTGAAAACAGCCGTTCGTTTACGCACGGAACAAAACTTAATCTCGTCTCCTCCGACGAACTTGTACAATTTCCTCGTCGTTTACGTTTGCAAATTACTCGTATTATATTTCCGTAGTTTGCTTACCGAGTAATATATATAGCCAGTACCTTCGCCGAGTTCCTTTTGTTATATTCTCGACGTTTCGCTGTTGCAGAATATTGGAGAGCATAAAAATGCCCAGGACGAGTTTCCACATCCACGACATCCTGCAGCTCGACGCTAAACCGTCCCAGGAGGAAACGGAGGTCCAAGGTAATTGCAAATGAGTAGCCTTTCACGGTTATCGTTATTATTATTCATTTATTGAACGGAAAGAAGAAAATCCTTTGGTACAAAAGATGGACCAGGATCGATCGAAGTCTCACCGTTTCTTGTTCGATTCTCGGTTACAGGGAGTACCACGGTCCTTCCAACGGCGAACGATGTTCCGTCGGCCTATCAGCAGTTCTTCGAGCACACGACGGCCATGTTGCAACCCGCGTTGTACGCGAATCTGAACAGAGGGACCCTTCCACCCCCGCCGCCAGGGCTCCTAGGATGGCCGGCTGGTCCAACGTTACCCACGACCCTGCCTCAGCCTCTGGAAGAACTCAACGGTGAGAAATAAAATATCTCCTCTATTTATGAATCATATTTCGAACGTATTTCGTTCACGAAAGAAGCCATTATTCTACAAACCATGATGCAATTTGCGAAAGCTCGCGGTCCGCTAGACTCGCGCAAATATACGTTGATTAGGAAGCATAGTGGGGGGACACCTCGAAACCCTTATTTATTTAACACCCTACAATTGGTCCGCGTCGGCTAAGCAGGATCTAATGGTCCTATAAAAGGTCCTTGTGGCTGCTACACGGCGATTGGCCCGTACCGGGGGACAGATGTCCCTTCGAGGACAGATGCGTGTCGCCTCCGTGGGTTCTCGATGAATCGGAATCGTCACGCCCAAAAAATCTACCGGTAGCCTATCGGCTCTGTGTTCCTCTTCTTCCTTATCTCCTCTTCTCCCCGTCTCTGTGTTCGGTCTCTCGCCTCTTCGTGAACCGAGAAATCGGGGACCGGACACGGACACGGACACGATCTTCGCCCCTATTTGAAAAGGGTGGCCTGAATTCGTTCCGATTTATCGCCGGGCCCTGTAAACGATCAAGAGAAACTTAACACACTCGTACAAGTTAAAACTATGTGGGTATGAACGAAGCTTCGATCTCCTTCGAAGACGCGAAACTAACCGTGGCGGGTGTCTAATTGAAATCACGACTGCGAGTAGAGTCTAATCTCCCATGAAAATGATACAGTCGATCCCATGGGGTGCAGCAGGCCGCGTCGGTATCAACCAGGCTTTATATTGCTTCACACCCTCCCCAAGCGAGCTTAGGGACCGCTCACAAAAGCGTATTGTGTGCTCGCCGAGGCAGGGATTCCTCGTTGTACATTAAATTAGCGTGTCTCTCGGCCACCGTGGTATTTGCCACTTTGCTCCCAAGGCTAATCAAAATATTGTTAGATCAAACCGCGTACACGACGGAACATTTCACGAATCTAGAATTTCATTATTCGTTGTATCGAACTATCCTCCCGGTGACTATTAACTCGATGAGCACCGTTTAGAAGCTGGGCTCGTTAAGAGAATGGAACGAGGCCGAACTGCAGCTGCATTTTTTACCCTTCGACACCTAACGCTGATTGCGGGCAGATGCAAGCCTCTATCGATTTCTTAAGTCTTCCTAGCAAACGTTCGCTCGCACGTTCCTAACACGCACTGTCCGAAACAATTCCAAACAACTTGCTACAACCGATCGAACATCAAGAACGAAATATATCCTGCGAACGATTAATTCACGTGGTACGTTGAGGTTTCTCCTGCTTCGATCCTTAAAGACATTTAAAGAAACAAGAGTGGCTTTCCAACGAAACGTTATGTCCATCCTTCGTAAGAAAGCCGCCAAACCGTCGAATAACCAAGGCGTTCTACCAATTCCAGTGCTCCAGCAGCCAGACTCGACCAGCCCGGCGATCTCCGACCTGTCCTTTGCCCCGAAGCAGGAGAACAACCACGATTGCAAAGAGGAGGAGTCGGCCGACTTCGAGGACGAGCAGCAAACGAGCGACACGCAGCCTCACGAGACCGAGCACAAGAAGAGGAAACGACGGGTGCTGTTCTCCAAGGCGCAGACCTTCGAGCTGGAAAGACGTTTCCGTCAGCAGAGATACCTGAGCGCCCCGGAGAGGGAGCATCTGGCTTCGATAATCCGGTTGACGCCCACGCAGGTCAAGATCTGGTTCCAGAACCACAGGTACAAGACGAAGAGGGCGGCCACCGAGAGGGTGGAGGCCAGCGGTAGCGGATGTTCGCCCAGAAGAGTCGCCGTTCCGTTGCTGATAAAGGACGGGAAGCCTTGTCAGTCGAAGCTGATGGAACCGTCCGCTTATCCCAGCTCCGGGCAGGTTCCCATGCCGCCATATATGCAGAAACCTTACTGGTGGTAAGAGGAACCACGAACTATTTTGTGAACGCGTCTTTGTGAACGATCTTATCCCCTTGGATACTTTGGGGCACACGGTGTACTTGAAGTAGAACTCTTGGATGGGGGAGGGATCGGTGAATAAATATTTCAGTGGTTGAGCAGGAAGTTTAACTTGGAACTTTGATAGAAAATTTGCAAATTCGCGAGTGAACAGATTGGGAGAGAATTGTGAAATCTATCTGGGACTATGTTTCGGCCAAAGTAGTTCAGGAATAGTGGATAGCAACTGAAAGCTATGGGGATCGCTCCGACATTTTGGAAGAAATGTTGGTCTGACCAAAGATGTTTGGATCTACTTGGAACGTTTGAATCGAAGTTGGTCAGATCGATGGTAACAGCGATGGGGAATTAATTCTCTTTCCAAATAACATTCGTTCCTTGTAAGAATCCCACCTGCGAGAAAAACGAGGAGACAATCCAAAGACAACGTTGCATCGAAATTCTGGACGTTTGCTCGTCGATGACCAATCCATCGAGGTGTTTTAACGAACGGAGGCACGAGGGAAGCTTCTCTGCGAGTAAAAGTGCCGCCGGAAGCAGCCGACAAGCATTAGGATGTAAATTCGAGTCGCGTCGCGTTGAAGCGCACGCGATCTCGTGCAAAACCAAAGATAGCTCGCGATCGATGGACGTTGTTTGGAACGCGATCGTGGCGAGAAAGTGATCTAGCGCAAATAAATAGATAAGTAAACGAGATACGTAGAATCGTTAGGTGAAAATCCACTGTTCGGGAAAGCTCTTCCGTTTCTCTTTCTTTTTTTTTTTTTCTTTGTACCAGAGGTCACGTGTAGCGTGGACGTCGGTGTAGCGTGTGTTTCGAATCGTCGCATTCATACTTGACGATATTAAACAAATTTCAGGTTAAGGAAATCATTCGTTGTTCGATCTATCGGGATAAATTTTTATTAATTCGTCACAATTTTCATTTCACTATTTAACAGTACAAAATCTCAGCAGCTCGTTTCACGCGTCGAACAACGAAGGAAGTCGTATAAAATTTGATATTAATGATAGGCAAACTTTAAAAACTATTCGCGTTCACGACGAACAAGGAGTTTCAGCCGTCGAGTGTTCTCTAAATAAAAAAAATAAAATAAAACAGAAGAAATCGCGATGATTGTTCGTCGCTTATGTAACTCGAACACCTCGCTTTCTATCAATCTAATCGCGATAACGAGATAATACGATGAAAAACAATTTCTCTTTGAACGTAATGAAAAGTAATTCCGCGTTTAAAATGCAAAAAATAACGTACGTTTACTCGCTCCTCGAATATCTCGCGATCGAGAATTCGCTCGAGATAACTCTATCGTTCCTTCCGAAGAAAAATCGTGACAAAATATATATAAAATACTTTAGCCTCCTACGTGCAGTGTGTTTGAATCTGTTTTTGTTCGTTCGAGAATTCTTGTGAAATAAAGAATGTCCGGTCATTACAATTAAGGTACACGAACGAACGACTTGGACTACGTACGATTGTTATACAATTATTCTTGTGTTAGTCAAGACAAATGTCTGTCAAATGTGGAAATAGCAAGTATCGTAATTGTATAGATGGTGAATCGGGGGTGTGACACACTCGAACAGTCGACAAATGAATCCCAGTTTATCGCCTTTAAATAGGTTGCATGTAATTACATCGATCGGTTGTATATATGTACATTGTGTATAATACATAGTAGCTCTAATATATCAGATACATATTTAATAAAATCAAATCTTAAGCGAGTAAGCTTCTCTCGTTACTTTCCCTTCGATCGAATTGCCTTTCGACGTTCTAAAATGTTGCGTCGGACCTTTCCCTTTATGATCTCGATTCACGCAATATGATTAAACAATAAATACTCGAGACAGTGTGTCCCCTTTGGCAGCCCTTCGTCCCTTTTTATTCCTCTCCTCGACCGTTCCATAACGCTTCCCTTTTTCAGAACACGCCGGAAGTCAGCGTAGCTTGAGTGACAAGCTTCCGGTTTCCGTTTCCGAGCAGCCATCTTGTTACCGGTTTAGATTTCCTGAGGGCGTCCTATCGAACTTGGATGGGGAGAACGTCTCGATTTCTGTCCGAAAACTTTTCATTTCGCGACAACTTCCCCACATAGAACTATTTAATTGCGCTTACAAAGTCAACACAAAATTAAGGACATTTTCTTTTACGGAACGTACATAAAATATTACGGCGCGACCAAGTAAAGAATTGTTATCACAGTCGCTTAATACTGACACGACCAGAGTTCTTCTAATTAACAGACGCCTATCTAGCTTCCAAAGGAGACACGATTGCAATAAGTTTCTAACAAAAGTCCTATCCACTCGCGAGCACAACTATTCAACGTGTAAAAATGCTTTGTTTACACAATTAAACTGTACTTTTCCCAGGAGTTTCTTAGAAGCGATAAGATTGTCACTTTGTATCTAAAGAAATCAATGAATCGAGATCGACTGGTCACTGAAGGTCTCCGCAGGATAATCCTCCGCGTAATCGATTCGAACGATCGACTGATTCTTAAATCGTGAATTATTACATTTCTATATTTACGATCGCTACCGACGACGGTAGATTTCAACAACGACATAAAATATTGCCCGAGCTTCGCATCGTTGACGATCGATCGCGTAATAATGGTGTCCGTATGACAAAACACATAGTCGGACGAGTACGAGTTTACGCAAGCATCCTTATCGCGAATTTTTTCTTATTGCTCGCCGATCGAAATTATCGGTTACTAATCAGATTAATCAGATTGTGCATTACGTGGTCCCGTATCGCGCGCCGGGATTTATGCTCGTGGACATTTTTCTGCTTTACGAAAACATTAATCAATCAGCGATTGCGTATCTGAATTATTCGTCGATTTATCGAGAACACTGCTCGAACGTTGTTTCCTTTCGCCGTATAATACACGGTATATCTACATCGTTCGCTTCGATTCGTAAAAATGTTGATTTCATAGGAGCTCGTATAGATTAGGTTAAAAGAAAGAGTTTCTCTTAGAAGAGTCACTGCACAAAAAGGAACAACTCCCATAATTTCTAATATTTTTCCCTGAAATAAATACTCTACAAACTCATCCCATTTACCACTAAAGAAACGGGTCACAAAACGAATACCCCCTTAACTAATGAATAGAAACGATTCTCGTCCTTTGATAAAATGGTAGAGAATCGATCGATGGGCAAAGGGAGCCGATGACCAGAGCAGAGATGCAAGACGAAACCCTCCTTCTCGATTCTCCGAGGCTGCCCACTGCTGGTCATCCCCGATGCTTCCAACAACGTACAACGATTACTACATGTTACTGCTTGCCCCTGCTGGTCTCTGCACACCTCTACATGCCTCTGCACACCTCTGCTTGCCTCTGCATCCCTCTGCTGACCACTGCTGACCACTACTGATGCTTCCAACAACGTACAACGATTACTACGTGCTCCTGCTGGTCTCTGCTTGCCTCTGCATCCCTCTGCAGACCTCTACTGCCCGCTGCTGACCCCTGCTGACAACTGCTGACCCCCCTGACCCCTGCTGACCGCCACTGATGCTTCCAACAACGTACAACGATTACTACGTGCTCCTGCTGGTCTCTGCTTGCCTCTGCATCCCTCTGCAGACCTCTACTGCCCGCTGCTGACCCCTGTTGACCCCTGCTGACAACTGCTGACCCCCCTGACCCCCCCTGACCCCCCCTGACCCCTGCTGACCACCACTGATGCTTCCAACAACGTACAACGATTACTACGTGCTCCTGCTGGTCTCTGCTTGCCTCTGCATCCCTCTGCAGGCCTCTACTGCCCTCTACTGCCCTCTACTGCCCTCTACTGCCCTCTGCTGACCCCTGCTGACCCCTGCTGACCACCCCCTGACCCCTGCTGACCACCACTGATGCTTACAACAACGTACAACGATTACTACGTGCTCCTGCTGGTCTCTGCTTGCCTCTGCATCCCTCTGCAGACCTCTACTGCCCCCTGCTGACCACCCTGACACCCCTGACCCCCCTGACCTCTGCAGACCCTTACTGACCACTGCTGACCCTTGTTATCAACTTCTAACATGATGTATATGTATTAAAACTTTGTATAATGTAAATCTATGACAATAAATGAAATAACTTCAAAGAATTCTATGTCTTCTCATCACTTTTACCTTTCTTTTCCTCTTCCCTTAGTTATAAGACTCCCTGAAACTCCTTGGTTTCCCTGAACCCACTAGGAAGTCTTGAAACTCAGAACTTTGCTAAAAATTCAGCGTTTCCAAGAAATTTCAGGACTTTCCAGCTGTTTCAGGACTTTTTCGCTGTTTCAGGCTTTTCCAGCTGTTTCAGGCCTTTCCAACTGCCCGAAATTTCGTTGTTTCAGGCTTCCCTAGCGGTTTCAGGACTTTTCAGCTGTTTCAGGGCTTTTCAACTGTTTCGAAATTTCGTTGTTTCAGGACTTTTTCGCTGTTTCAGGCTTTCCTAGCGGTTTCAGGACTTTTCAGCTGTTTCAGGGCTTTTCAACTGTTTCGAAATTTCGTTGTTTCAGGACTTTTTCGCTGTTTCAGGCTTTCCTAGCGGTTTCAGGACTTTTCAGCTGTTTCAGGACATTTCAACTGTTTCGAAATTTCGTTGTTTCAGGACTTTTTCGCTGTTTCAGGCTTTTCCAGCTGTTTCAGGACTTCAAAATTGTTTCAGGACTTTTCGACGAAAAATGAATTCTCGATTTTGCCAGCAAAACTTCTAGGAAATGACGAGGACATCGGGAGGATATCAGGGGGACATATGGGAAGAGGTGGCACGTATCTTATAACTATGGGAATGATTTCGAGAGGAAAAGAAAGGAGAAAATGATCAGAACACATAGAATTCTTTGAAATTATATCATTTATTATCTTAGATTTACATTATAAAGACTTTAATACATATACATCGTATCAGAAGTTATTAACAAAGACCAGGGGGGGTCAAGGGTGGTCAGAGGTGGTCAGCAGAGGGATGCAGAGGCAAGCAGAGGTGTGTAGAGGCATGTAGAGGGATGTAGAGGCAAGCAGAGACCAGCAGAGACCAGCAGGAGCAAGAAATAACAAGTAGTAATCGTTGTACGTTGTCGGAAGCATCAGAGGTGGTCAGCGGTGGTCAGCAGAGAGATGCAGAGGCAAGGGGAGGTGTGTAGAGGCATGTAGAGGGATGCAGAGGGATGTAGAGGCAAGCAGAGACCAGCAGGGGCAAGCAGTAACAAGTAGTAATCGTTGTACGTTGTCGGAAGCATCAGAGGTGGTCAGCGGTGGTCAGCAGAGAGATGCAGAGGCAAGGGGAGGTGTGTAGAGGGATGCAGAGGGATGTAGAGGCAAGCAGAGACCAGCAGGGGCAAGCAGTAACAAGTAGTAATCGTTGTACGTTGTCGGAAGCATCAGAGGTGGTCAGCGGTGGTCAGCAGAGAGATGCAGAGGCAAGGGGAGGTGTGTAGAGGG